ATCATACTTTACATACTCGCTCTTGTTCAAAATGGAATATTTTTGAGGGAGTAATTTTTTTAATGATTTAATTGTTTGTTATTAACAAATGGTAACAAGTACTACGACCTCGAAAAATTATTACATACAGCAAGTGTATTCTCATTTTTTAATGCAGTAACACACCCATTATACTGGAAAGTATCATGATCTCCTAATTTTGTGGTAGCTTTCCGGGTAATAATAATTTTATCTGGCTGTACAATCTTATGTGATACAAGAGCTGTATGGAAAATTTTCTCCTATGCCTCAAATGCCGGAAATACTCTATGCCAAAGAAATAATTTCCACGTCTAATTTGTAAATAAGTAACTCAATTGGCGATTTCGTAATCCTTGAACAATTGAATATGGGAAATCCTGAAATTCAAGTGCGTATTCAAACTGTAACTGTGTCGATTCAATATGAATCCAAGCTGAGTTCTGTGCTGGACTTATATTACAAATAGTATCCGAAATCTTGAATTTGAGATTCTACCCGCCGCATTTCGAAGCATCGATTGTGGAAGGCAATGACGAAGGGAGAAATTGAAACATCTGGTTAAAACTAACCAAACAAATCCCACCCCTGGCCACTGGAAGACTCAGCCTCTCTCCTTCTGCTTGTTTGTATGTCGACGAATTCTGGGAATTGTTTACTTTTTGGTATTATCATCCCTACCCTAACTAATCCGGATTCGAGCAAGAGTATGTCTCCTGTGGGAAGGAAGTAAAACTTCCTTAACCACTATTTTTCAATCACTCTTCCATGCTTGTTGGTATCAGGATTGGAACCTTGGCCATAGGCCTATATATGAACTTGCCCCGATTTTCTTAATTATTTATCTTTGTTAACCCCCTCAATTAAGGACTAATTTTAGCAGTGAGACAGACAATAATAGGAGGGGAAAAAGAACGAACTCCCTTTAGAATCCTAAATCCTAGTACTATCCGGTCTCTAATCACGGGGCTATATGGAAAAACTTTTAGAGAAAATCATAAGTATTTGTTGGTCCAGGTGATTTCTGTTTTTTCTGTACTTTGTTTCCTTGTTCTTTCCATCTGCAAGGATTGTATCCTTGTTATTTCCATCCACAAAAGATTACTTTCCTTTTGTTCTTTCCTGGTTCTTTTAATTTTATTTTATTTTTTTTGTCCGTGCCAATTCAGTTTTTCTGTGCATTCTTTGAGATTTTCGACCTAAAGTTGGAAGTTCAATTACTTTCAATTCAAACTGTAACTGAGTTTTGGACTAATCCAATTTCAAATACATTTCCACTGATTTTGTGTATTTAGTGGCACCTTTATGCATTAGTGCAGAACGATTCATGGAGAAAAAATGGAAGAAGGGCCCGTCTTGCACCACCTGAATCACATGAACAGAAGGTGAAATTAATCAAACCTTCAGACTTCGATCTCGTCTTTAACTTGATTTTGTTTTTTTATTTTTTTCCCCCTCCTTTTGTGTGCTTGTGTTTCTATCTATACCCTTCATTTTCTCTCTTTTGTTAATTATTTTTTGGAGCAATAATTTGGCCCTTTTTTTCTAGATCTGAACCACTGTTTGAAAGAATTCTTTGCAGTTCTGCATTAATGAGTTGCCAGATGAAATGCTGGTGAACGTTCTGGAGCTGAAAGAGGCAGCAAGAACATATGTCATTAGTCGCAGATGGAGGAATCTATGGACTTTTTGTACTAACTTAGATTTTGATGCCAGCGACACCTTGCGATTGTTGTACCATGATGGTGAAAACGCGCAAATATGAAGTACATAGCTACATAAAACACGTGAATCGGGTGTTGGATAGGCACAAGGGATCAAACCTGGATCGATTGAGGATCGCTTTTGATATGCAGCTTTCCTGCTTGTGTTTTGGAACTGCTGTGGCTAGATGGATTGATTTTGCGATAGTTAAGCGTGTTCAGAGGCCAGAGTTAGACCTGAGTTCAGTTTTCGGGTCTCACAGTAGTTACTTCAGTTCCTGTAGATTCCCGTCTTGGTTGCTGGATATTCCACATGATTCGCCCTGTTTTGACACACTAACTTCCCTGTGCTTGAATGCAGTCTTCTTATCGGATGCAGACCTTGCGTACTTCTTATCAGAATGCAGGTCCCTCGAGCGATTATCATTTGTCAGTAATAAATTCATCCGGTCTTACAAATGTGAGAGTTTCAGGCGAAGCGCTTAACTTAATACACTTGGAGATCGCGCACTGTCATTACTTAGAGAATATGGAGATTTCGGATGCAACAAAACATGTGTCTTTCAAGTACGCAGTTGGAAGGTTTTCGTACCAGAAAGAGAGAACCATAAGCCTGTGCCTGAGAAATGTTCCTAAACTTTCTTCAATTTCTCTGAGAGATCCCTTACTGGAACATTTTATTTCAAAGTTTCATAGTGATTTACATCAGTCAAAGCTGAAGAAATTGGAATTTGATATGAACTATATGGTCAGTTTAACCACTGCAACAACATCTTCTGTTTTATTCCCTTTCATTGCTGGTTATCTGCACATCAGACCATAACGTTTTAATTCCAACTTCTTGGTTTATTTATGTTTCAGAAACACGACAGATGCGTGAACTTCCCGAATTCAGCAATCTTGAGGAATTGACAGTAAAATTCATAGTCGCAGACGACGAGAATCTCCTGTTCCTCGGTTCCATTATGGTCGCATCTCCATGCTTGCATTAGTTGACATTGAAGGTTATGGAATAAGAAGGTGGATAGGAGATTAACTCATCAATGTCTAGAAGTGATTGAATTTGTTGGTTGGATTGGAGTCAACACAGATGTTCAACTTGCTGATTATTTGATTAAGTGCGCTTTAAAAGAAGATCATTTTTTTATCTTTGCATTCCACAGTTCATGGAGACATCATGGTGTGAAGAATGTTGTATGTTGGAAGGGAGGAATCGGGAATCTGCTATGTTTAAGTGCCAAGAAAATTGAGACTAAAATTCAAAGACGATTCCCCGTAGCTGTAGCGATTATTGTATGTTAGCACTGTGTTTGTACACCCTTAATTATTTTTGCTAACAGTGCTGTATAAGTATAAGATTTGATAGGAATATTAGAATCGAAAATAAGGGGTTTCTTTTGGATAAAAAAAAATAATAATGAATCTTACACGGAGCTACTCCCTCCGTCCTATAATTATTGTCCAGTTTTACTAAAATGAAAGATTTTATTTTTTGTCAAACTTAATTATATTTTACCTTAAACAATCGAATGTACCCCTACATAAGTAATTGTCTAACCACTAAAATTTTATAGATAATGTTTTTTTACTAAGGACAAATGTGTAATTTAATCCATAAAAAGTCAAATTAGACAATAATTTTGGGACAAAATTTTTTGGGCAAAGTGGACAATAATTATGGGACGGAGGGAATACATAATACTCGCTCTTTCTTAAGGTACACCATCCTACTCATAAGTTAACCTTATTAGAATTTCAAAATAATATTACAAATGAAATGTTAAAAGTTTGGAAAATAAGATCAGCAAAATTTTAAGGTTAAACTCCACTTTTGGTCCCCATGGTTACTCCCTCTACCAGAGTCGCCATAAAATTCTTGGTAATAACGTATGTAATTGCAAAAAAAAAAAAAAATGTACGCAATACTTTTGATTTTTGACAGGGTAAAATAGTAAATTAAATGAAAAAATTACACCAAATACCACATTTTACTCCTTAGCTTTGGATGAATCTCATCCCAAAGTTTTGTTACGTAACACAAAAAAAAAAAAAAAAAACCGTGGATTTGATCTTTATGGGAAAAAAAATAATTTCCTTAGACATGAATTACTTCCATTTATTTATTTTCATTTACTATTATTTTTGTATTGAGTTATTTGACTCATTTTTATCTACTATTTTAACCAAAAATTATGTAACTTAGATACATTGATATTTTAGTTTAGGTCTTTTAATTTTTATTCTTTTTTGTTATTCTTTTCAATAAATTATACTCCCTCCGTCCCATAATTATTGTCCACTTTGCCCAAAAAATTTTGTCCCAAAATTATTGTCCAATTTGACTTTTTATGAATCAAATTACACATTTGTCCTTAGTAAAAAACATTATCCATAAGATCCTAGTGGTTAAACAATTACTTATGTAGGGATATATCCAGTTGTTTAAGGTAAAATATAGTTAATTTTAACTAAAAATAAAATCTTTTATTTTAGTAAAACTGGACAATAATTATGGGACGGAGGGAGTATGTGTTTTTTTTAGTGTGCCATAATTTCATTTATTATTTTCATTATTTCGGACTCTAATTATTCAAATTGATCATAAAATGACAATAGTAATTATTTATGTTATTTATTCACATTGCATCATGTCATTCGGGAAAATAATTCTTATTTAATTAAAATATCTAAACTATAGTCTCATAAATACTACTATTAGTCTTTCTACTTAATCAGTTAAGATTAAAGTGTTTAATTCTTAGGCGCGTATTGATGTCTAAATGAGAATGTTACTTTTAGAAGTGATTGCATCTGAATCAAAATCACATCAAATACTTAAATCCCCGTGTAATAAAATTTAAATCATTAAAATAATGATAAATCTAAGTTATGTAATCTTAGGTTAGAATAGATTAAAAATAAAGGGTCAAATAACTAATGACAAAAATAATATTTTAGAAAATAAATAAATGGACAAAATTGAGGTCTAGAGAAATATTTTTTTTCCAAAAATACCAAATTCATGGGTTCTTTTTTTTTTTTTTTGCTATGTACTACTAAAATTTGAAATGAAATTAAAATTCCATCCAAAGCTAAGGAGTAAAATGTAGTGTTTTGGTATTTATTTAATTTATTATCTTTACCCTTTTCAAAAAATTAAACGTGTTTATACATTTTTTTGGTGATTTAAATTCGTTATCATAAATTTTATGGTTGGTTCCCCCATAAACTTTATCACTTAATTCGTTTAGCTTTGGCTTTTTAAAGGAAAAAAAATCGGAGAAAATAATATGCAGTAGTATTTGTTTCACTCTTAGTAGTCAATATAAAACCTTTTTATTCCTTTTTAAGGATTTACTACTAGTGTGCTAGAGATATATCGTTTGGATCCGAAACGCCCATATTAACGGCAAGGCCGGAAATCGGATCCCAAAATGCCAGTGAAAACCAGCTCCAGCACCGGCGGTGCCGCTGCCGGCCCAACCACTTTCCCCTGCACCGTTTCTTCTCTCTTCCTGTCTATCTCCTTCCTTTGCGTCGTCTCACTTTGCCTCTTCCTTTTCCGCTTCAATCCCACTATAACCCCGTCGCTTAATCTCCACAATAACCTTCAAATTTCTCAAAATTCCGTCAGAGTCTACGTAGCGGACCTTCCCAGATCCCTCAACTATGGGCTCTTAGAGAAGTACTGGTCTTTAACCTCTGATTCGAGGCTTGGAAGTGAAGTAGACAATGAGATCAGAAAGACCCTTTCGTCTAAAGATTCTCAAAAGTTCCTTCCATATCCTGAGAGCCCGTTGATTAAGCAGTACAGTGCAGAGTACTGGATCATGGGCGATTTGGTAACTCCCGAAGAGCTGAAGAAGGATTCTTTAGCTAAAAGAGTGTTTAGTATTGATGAGGCTGATGTGATTTTTGTTCCATTTTTCGCTACCCTCAGTGCGGAATTGCAGCTGGGTTTGAATAAGGGAGTGTTCCGGAAGAAGGTTGAGGATAATGAGGACTATCAGAGGCAGAAAATGGTGCTGGATCTTGTGAAGAAGTCTGAGGCTTGGCAGAGGTCTGGTGGCCGGGATCATGTCTTTGTTCTTACTGGTAACTCGTTAATTACTCGAGTAAATATGTTTGGACTTCTGTGTTTTTGTATATTGAATCGAAACAATGGTCTGGTTGATTATGGTCTGATAAATGAACTTGGGGGAGAAAATGTTTTGCATGTTTCGTTGATAGAATTCCCTGTAGTTTTCATTTCATTTTCCTGTTGGTTTTAATGTGAAGAGTATGCGAAGTTACTTGATATAAAGATTATTACGGACAAGAACGTTGAGAACACCAATTCTTATAATCGTCACTGGTTGTAGATTGCCTACAACGTAGCTTTCGGAATTATAGAAACACATCTTCACACCATTTCATTGTCTTGTGGGGTTTTGTGAATTGTCTGTTTGTGATTGTGTGTTTTCGAACTTCTTTTCTTATATTATCTTCAGAATTGAAATTAAAGGGCTGGCAACTGTGGTGCATGCTGTAGCAGCTTATGATTTAGTCTTTGAATTGTCAGGTTGTGTTAAACCTTGAAGCATTCTTTGGCAGACCCTGTTGCCATGTGGCATGTTAAAGCGGAGATAGCCCCTGCAATTCTACTGGTGGTTGATTTTGGTGGATGGTACAAGGTGGACTCAAAAGGATCAAGTGATAACTCATCAGATATGATCCATCATACCCAGGTTTCGCTGCTGAAAGATGTTATTGTACCCTACACCCATTTACTGCCTAGGTTGCATATATCAGAAAACAAGAAGCGGCATACACTTCTTTACTTTAAAGGAGCTAAGCATAGGCATCGGGTTAGTAATCTTGTCTAAAACCTTTTGGATGTATATGTATCTGCCCTGTAACTATCACCAAATAATGACTAATGGGAGCTAACAGAAATCTTTTTGGGTTCTTTACTTTGATGGGCCACTATACAATAGCCCTGCTTATCTGTGCAATGGTATCATCTGAATTGTAATGTACAAATTTGTCTTCTGAAACACGTCTCTCACAATTTTGCTGAAGATTTTAAGTTATTATAACGATCTGTCTGCAATATATTTTACCTGTCATGTATGTTACTGCACTGTTTAAAATTATTGTTCCTTTTGAACTTCATTTTGGAAGAATATGACATTTCTTTATAGTTATTCATTTTATTGGGTTCTTAGGTGAAGATCGTTATCACTGTAATGTAGGACCTTGTGTTTTTAGGCTACATAAGTATAAGATTTTTTCATCAATTGTCCGCATTTTGTTTTTTCTTGGAATGGCTAGATGACAGTCGCGATTCATGAATGAGGTTTGCATATGAGAACTGAGCAATCTTTTTTATATGCTAGATGATATTAATTCTAATCAGAACTTATCTATGTATTGTTTCTTGTAATGTCGGTATCGAAGGACCAAAATTTTGCATCAACTATGATTAATCGCTTAATTGGTATGCTATACTGATTTGCCAATAATTAATTGTAGTTACTTCATGTGCCTAAACATGGAATAGTTCATTGGCAGTCTCCGTTTCTCTTTCATATCTCTTCTTTTGCTTTTCATGTCAATCTGTCCTGCTTTCTGGATCTCTTTCTTTTCGAAAGAGTTATTATGTTTTGGGTTTGGGTAAAGCACGATGGTGATGTTTGATCGATATAGTCGGTGTTTGACTCCGCATTGCTTTATAAAGGCTTAGTTGCGGTGGTAATTGTTTTTGTTGTGTTTCGGGGGCAATAGGATGACATTTGTGCTTTGTTGGAGGTGCGGAAAGCCGAAGGCATTTTTTTCTTCTTTTGAGCCCGATTCTATGAGTTCGAATTCAATCATCTCTGTATAGTCTATTGGTTCTGTCTGTAGCTTGATGACCTAAAATCATACTGTCTGTAAAATGTGTGTTCTAATCTTTTCCAGTCTAGAAGTAATAATATTGTCCCGTGTGTGATATCTAACAGGAGGTTCCCTTATCTACAGGGTGGCCTAGTCCGAGAAAAATTGTGGGATTTACTGGTGAATGAACCTGCAGTTGTGATGGAAGAAGGCTTTCCTAATGCCACTGGCAAGGAACAGTCTATACATGGTATGAGGACATCTGAGTTCTGCTTGCACCCTGCGGGGGACACACCTACCTCGTGCAGACTTTTTGATGCCATACAAAGTCTCTGTATTCCTGTAGTAGTTAGTGACGAGATTGAGCTCCCCTTTGAAGGAATCGTGGATTATTCAGAATTTGCAGTATTTGTTGCAGTTAATGATGCACTGACGCCAAATTGGCTTGTCAATCATCTTAAAAGCTTTTCTGATGAGCAGAAGAACAAATTGAGGAGAAAAATGGCAGAGATTCAGCCTGTATTTGACTATGATAATGGTTATCCGGGTGGTATAGGACCTTCGCCTCCGAATGGCGCAGTGAATCATATATGGAAAAAGGTCCTCCAAAAGCTCCCGCTGATAAAGGAAGCCGTAACTCGAGAGAGGAGAAAGCCCTCGGGTGTTTCTGTTCCACTTCGATGCCATTGTACATGAATTTATTTTTTAATATTATGTGCATGCATATGTTGTATCACTTGTGCTTAAATTTTCTTCCCTGCCAATTTATATTCCATGAGATTCATTCTTTCTTGTGGTTTTGTTATCACTTCTGCGGCAGCATCTTTTCTTATAGCTTTAAGAGTACGTAGTATCTAATCTATTGACTCAGATTATATTGGCCATGGTTTGAATTATATTGTTTATCCTTAAATCTGAAGGCAGAAAGATCGTTTTTGGCTTTAGTTTCTTCATTTTATAATTCCGATTCAACACATATACGTTTGGTAATGGTTCACTACCTTAAAAACTGTCGTTACATTCACTGTTTTATGATCAAAGTTGACGTAGATGCTCTGCGGCAGGCAGAAGTTAATAAAAGGGTTCTGAACAAAGCCTATGAAAACCTAGATATCCACTGTTTATGCTCGTAACCACTTGGGAAAGGGTTCATTTGTTTCATCTTGTCACCCAGCTAGTAGTTTTGGAATGCATATTCTTCCCTGTATACACCTGAGGAATTGAGTCAAAATATTTAGCCCCCATTCCCCAGTGTTCATGATAAACGGCATACTCAGAATATGGGAATTTGACATTATTAAAATTTGATCTTTGCAGCAGAATTTCTACAGAATCTCTACATTTTTCAATTCTACAACATTAAAAGCTTTCCACTTTCTGTGGACATTCAATTTGGTATCTAAATGAAAACACTAGTTTATCGCCACTGTATGGAAAACTATGCATAAAAACAAATCACCCACTGAATTGAAACAATGTACCTCAATCAAGTAGAATCAGGGTTCCTTTCATTGACGTCTATCTCCACGCAGGGAATGTTGGCTATCTTCGACCAATAATCACCTCCATCTTTCATGCATTGATCTTTGAGTTTCTTACAGTTACTAATCTCAAGACGCCAAAGTCCATTGAGGATGTTTTCGTTAGGCAAGGTCTTAAGTTTAGGACAGGTCATGAGAGATAAATGTTGCAGGGAGGTCAATCTATCAAGACATTTTGACAGCGATTTGAGATTTTTGAACCTTGCAATAGAAAACCTTGTTATTGAGGAAGGAAAGAGGTTTTCATCATCAGCAAAAGAATCATGCTTTGAGAAACCACCACAGATGGAAAGTTCCTTAAGAGAGGTGAGTCTGTCAAGCTTCCATTCAGCCAGGGGCCTGAGTTTCCTTGAATCCCATATCCGAAGTGAAGTTAAACTTGAAGGCAAGTTTGCTTGGGGAAAAGTCTCAAGGTTTGAGCAACCACGGATTTCCAATGAAACAAGGGATGAGATGCGGTGAATATTTGAGGGTGTAGATTTGAGTTGGGAACAATATTCAATGGAAAGGATCCGCAGATTTGGTGTCGGCAATCCTTGCTGTGGAAAAGACTCCAAGGTTTCACAATGAGATATGTGTAGTTCAGCAAGGTGGGAAAAACAGTGCATGTGGCGAAGTAAAGTACCGACATTCTCCCAATTGGAAATATTAAGTTCTGCTAGAGACATGCTGCGGTTCTGCTCAAAAATTTTGTCTGAAACTGGTTCTAGATGCTCAACATTTATTATGACAACTTTCTTGAACGTAGTTGGAAAGCTACTTTCTGACCAGGCCCTCAATGATGAACAATCCTTGAGCTCCAATCTTTCCAGATTAGACAAGCCATTTGGAAGGGAGTTCAGGGCATTACAACCTTGTAACAAAAGGCGTCGAAGCATGGGTGGGACACCTGTCTCTGGAAAGGAAACCAGTTTTGGGCAAGTCTTGATGATTATCTCCCTTAAGTTCTTGAGCTTACTCAGTTCCAGGGGCAAGGAACTTAAAGTCGGACAACCAAATATTTCCAAGACTTCAAGATTAAGTGGCAGCTGTTGATCCTCATCCCCTAAGCAGACAATATTCGAACAGTCTTCTACAACAAGACGTTTCAGGCATGTAAGACTCTCTGTGGACACATCATGTTCCCACAATGAGATAAATTCGTCACAGTTACAGATCTCGAGGGCTTCAAGTTTTTCAGTGTACTGCATAAGATCTCTTGAGATACATGTAAACCCAGTAACTGATTCAAGCTTTAAGTATGTAAGCAAGTTCAGATGCTTGAAACTATGCAGTATCACCTTGCTGCATTCGTGAAGATCTAATTCATGAAGATAAGGAAGACTCAAAGATGAGACTTTAGCCAGTTTCTGACACTTGTAAATGCTTAGCTGATGAAGACGAGGGAACTGAAATTCAGATGGCTGATCTCCAGTACCACAAGACCATTCCTCCCACTCAGGCATGCAATCAAACCTCAAAGTCTCCAGGCATGGAAATGGGTGTTCTAGAGGATAATTACTCTTCAAAAACTCATCTCCAATGCGTTTAACACCTGGCATACCTCCTATTCTCAGGTGTTTGAGAGAGGGCAGCTGTCCAAGAGGTGGTAGAGATGTGCATTTAGCACAATTACTGAGGCTGATGCTGTTTAGTGAAAGGAACAGTGGATCACCAATCCAAGTCGGAAACTTCATGCCTCCAAAGAAATCAATCTTAAGCTTTTGCAAGTGTTCATGAGGTTGTAGCAATTCAAGCACATTGAATTCTTGAATTTCATTACGAGAATCAACATTACCATCGCTCCAGCTCATCTGTAAATCCTCGATGCTTGTCTTCTGCTTTAAGTTTGCTTCTCTTGCTTCCTGAATATCAGCTACATTCTGCAATTCAACAATGCTGACCATGCCTCGCAAAAGCGTAAGATTCTTCAACTCTGTTAGCCTCAGTCCACAAGATCTCCCAATAACAATCTTCGGCAAAGTCTGTAGGTTGCTCAATTTACCGATTCCAACTGGCATTCCCTTCAGCTGATCAGTTCCAGCATTGTCAAGATGGCGAAGTTTGATCAAATCCCCTAGAGTTTCTGGAAGCTTGCTGATAAAGCGGCAATTTCTCAAGGATAATGTTTGCAAATTGTAAAGATCTCCAAGAGTTTCAGGCAAGGATGTGATTGCTGTTCCAGAGAGGTTGAGGTATCTGAGATGTATCAAGCAGCAAATGGAGCTTGGTATCTCAGTTATCGAGTAACCGCTCAAGGATAGAACCCTTAAGCATTGTAATTTAGGCAGAAAGCTGTGCAGAATTATGTTTGACAGATAGAAAGGAGGCCAGACATGTGCATTCTGCACGGGCATTGGTATGAATGTTCTTAAGCCTTGGACTTTTTGCAAAGCCTGGAATTTTTTGTAGACTTCATACTCATGACGAAGAAAAGAAGCATGTCGAGTATTATCAGAGACTTTGTCAGACTCATATAAATCAATTTTGTCATCCAGTCTCTGGCACGTCCCCCCAGCAACAAACTGTGCCAAATCATTGATGAGATCATGCATAACAAAACGAGAGTCAATGCTTCTTAAGCGCTGAAAAAATGACCTGGATGCAAGCTCGTTGAAACATTCAGTACCAAACTCTTCCATTGTTTTCCCTTCCTTCGGTTTCTGCAGAAAACCTTCACCCATCCAAAGCAAGACCAATTCAAGCCTGTCAAACTCATAGTCTTTCGGGAAAACAGAACAATATGCAAACAATTGTTTCAAATCAGATGGCAGATGGTGATAGCTCAATCTTAGAACCGGAAGAATTCCGGTTTCCTGAGGCAAATCCCATATTTTGCTATTCAGAACATCTTCCCACTCAGCGGGGCTGCCTTTACAGCGCAAGATGCCTCCAAGTGCCTTTGCTGCCAATGGTAAACCTCCACATTTCTTCACCAATTTCTCACCTGTCTGTCTCAGACTAGGATGTGCATCGAAATTTGTTTTCCCCAAGGCATGCTGAGCGAATAGAGAAAGACAATCTTCATCAGCTAACTTCTCCACAAAGTAAGGCATAATAGATCTAGAACGGACCAAATCTGCAACCTTATCATGGCGTGTAGTGACAATAACTTTACTTCCAGGCAGTCCTACTTGGAAAGGGCGACATAAACGATCCCAATGTTGATAATTTTCATTCCATACATCGTCCAGAATAAGCAGAAACTTCTCCTTGGAAAGTCTTTCCTGTAATGTCACTTGAAGTGTGTTCAAATCCTTCGATTTACCACTGGTTTTGGTCACAGAGTCAAAAATAGACCTGGTTACCGTGGTTACATCAAACACTTCAGAAACACACACCCAAGCCTTAAGACTAAAGAAATTATTGACAGTTTCATCATTATAAACAAACTGGGCTAGGGTGGTTTTGCCAACTCCCCCCATCCCAACAATGGGAATCACACAAACACTGTCCTGACATGTTTCACTTTCACCACATTGAAACAACATTTTCAGGATTTCTTTTCTGTCTTCCTCCCTTCCATACACATAAGGCTCCACTAAACAAGTGGTAGGGGGTCTCTTCTCTGATCGACCAGACGTCCCTCCATTTCCAGCAGGAACACTCAAATTCAGTTCATTCTTTTTCTTCACAATTTCATCTAACTTACAAGTAACACTTTTTATCTTTGATGCAATTCGTGAATTGGACTTAAGGGAACGAGGACTAAAATTCTGACAAGTACTGATTAAATTCAAGCACTTACTTTTTCTGGGGTCATCGGGTTCCAGCAATTTCTCACGAAGTGCTATAGTTGAAATCTCGTCAACAACATCATCCAAGTCATAAGCCACCTCTCTCAAAGATTCCAGCCATTCCTTTATGAATTTATCCGTGATTTGCTTATCCTCAGCATCAACAATCACTAACTGAATCCACTTCAATGATTTACTGCATTTCTTGAGCTGGGCTCGGATACCCTCTTTCTTGGCAAAACTCTGCAAGACTATATCGGTCAATCTTTGGTACAGCACGTCAAGAAGTGGTGACAGAAAGAGCTCTGCCACAGCCGCTGCCATTTTTTCCGGCTTCCTGATGAAATTTTCAAGGAAATCCCAGATTGAAGATCAAAGAGTTGACCAGAAATATCGAAAATTTCTGGGGCTTTGGAGATGAAAGAAACCCTGAATGGATCGGTCCTTTTTAGGTTCAAATCCTGCAATGATTATAGAATGTAGAGGGTTTCAATTGCAGAGCAATGAATGATTGGCTGAATTGAGTTTATGATGATCAATGCCGAGAGTTTTCATGGTTGACTTGACTTGATTGCTCTCTCAATTAAGTCTTCCAAAAACGAGTTTTATTTTTTGTTCTCTTTTTTTTTTTTTTTGCTGTACTTAAAAAAATAAAAGTAATAAATTGATCTTTCATTCCATGTGAGGAAAAAGTCACTTGGCTAACCTCAATAACTCGGTTTTGATCCCCAATATGTAGGGGTAGCTCAAGTGAGTAATCAAAAGGTTATGTTCAATGTTTTTAATGCCCGTGTTTAGGTTTACTAGTTTATACATGTGTGTTGCACGGATTGACAGATCATTTTTATTTAAATTTCAAGTAATAATGTTCTGTAATTGTTTTTTTTTTTTTGAGAAATCCAGGGTGGTACCTAGCGGGAGGACCCCGATTTTATTAATATAAGTAAAAATTACACAAGGCAGTGCGTAAAACTTATCCAAACGGAAAAGGAGTCTGCCTTACAAAAGTTTTTCTAAAAAAACCATAACGGCTCCTATGCAATTACAACTATGAATTGTCTTACAAAGATAATGCAATATCCTCGACAATTTCTTAAGTTTTATGCGAACAATCCTAGGAGGATGTCTTACAAAGATTCGACATAAATCCCCTGACATCTCCACCTATACTATATAGTAGATAGATTCCTATCTAATCCTAATATACGGAAAAGAACACTTATCAAGATACCATTTGCCCCACAAAGAGGTTGGTAAGTGATCTCTATTATCATATTGAAGGCTTGACCCATGTGATGCCGCCTTTGCAAGTTCATCCGCCATGCTATTAACCTCTCTGAAAATATGCAAAATTTTAGAGTTCGAGAGAATGATCATAACCTGGATCTCCTTGAGCTTATGATGATCTTTCCATGGAAAACTCTTGTTTTGTTGTAGTAGTTGGGCGACCACTTGATTGTCAGACTGAATGACCACTCGAGATATGCCTTTTGCCAGACAGTAACGAAGACCATTTAGGATTGCTTCTATTTCAGCTTCAACGCTTGTTGCTATCCCCATATAACCACATTCTGCTCGAATAAAATCTCCATTCCTTCCCCTTAGGACGTAGCCCCATCCCGCAGTACCTGGTTGACCTGAAGCCGACCCATCTGAATTGAGGGTTGTTTATCCTGCCTCTGGTGGTTGCCATCTATGAGATATCGTAGCTTTGGCCTTGATGGTCTCCACCTTAAAATGAAAAGCCAGCTCTATTGCCTTTTGATCCTCCACATGTTGAAAACGTGAGACTTAATAGCTTTCAAAATAAACTGAAATGAAAAACCGATACCTTCATGTAGTATTTTATTCCTAATTTTCCATATCTCCCACAAAATGAAGATAGGCATGACCATGAAGAGTGTCTTTTTAGCTGAGGAGAAACTTCCTAAGGATTGCCAAACTTGTACCGTATTTCTCCATCCTGCATGATTATCAAAAGTAATGCCTAAGTTGGCCGAGAAATATGACCAAACAGGATTTATTTTGACACAATGAAAGAAAACATGAACAATATCCTCTTCCTCCTGCCTACAAAACGGACATTGCGATGGACTTAAATTAAAACCATTTTTTTGTAAAATCTCAGGAAAAGGCAACATTTTATTAAAAAGTTTCCACATGAAAAAAGATATTTTCAAAGGAATGCATCTATGCCAAAACTTTGCAAGCATTGAAATTTGTGGTTTTTTTTCTCTAAATTCTGAAAATGCTGAGGAAACAGAAAAACTCCCTGATTCGGTAGGCGTCCAAATTAGTTGATCCTTCTTATCCATAAATTGAAGTGTCATAGCCGAGAGTTGATTCCTCGCATCTTGGCCTAGAATACTTCGAAATTCTTGCAAGAAAAAAGACTTACAAGAAAAAAATTCTTTCACAGTTAGATGTTGCATTGGAGGGCTTGTATCTTCTTTCCATAAGGGCGTTGCACTCATCAACGGATCAAACCAAAAAGAGGAGGAACCATCTTCAATGAGGATCTGACATTTTTCCTTTGCCAGCATATCAACCTTGTTAATCCGGACCCAACTTATTTTATCCTTTGTTGAATTCGATAATGAGGATACAAAAGCAGTACACCTTGTTTATTTTGAACCTTCCACCATAATTTCATAGAAAATGCATTGATAATATCATCTAGATTCTGGAAACCAAGTCCATTTTCCTCCACAGGAAATCCTAATTTTCTGAATGCACGCCAATGCCAGTTTGGGCCATAATTATTTTGGCTCCAAAAGAAATCTTGACATCTCTTTTCAATAGCTTTAATAACTGACTTTGGAGGAACTAATGCTGCAATCGTATGAATTTGGTAATGCACTTAAAATATGCCTAATTAATATCAATCTCCCCCCTATTGAAAGCAACCGATTCCTCCAATTGGCAAGCTTAATATCCATAGCCTCTAATAGGTGCTGAAAATATTCCACCTTCTTCCGACCCTTGAAGAGAACACATCCTAGATATTTAAAAGGTGGTGATCCCTGCGGCATTTGGAGGGTTTGTAGGATAATATCAACTTGTCGCTCACTACTCTTTCCGGAAGTTATGAACATGCTCTTTTGCTTATTTATTTTTTGCCCTGTCGCATCTTCATAATCCACGAATAAATCATTCAACCTTTGCATAGAACTCTTCAAACCCCTTGTAAAAATAATAAGGTCATCCGCGAAGCATAAATGGGAAACAATGATAGATCTTGCGGGAACACCATAAAGCGAGATTTTTCCAGCCTCCGTTAATACCTTTAAATTTCGGGATAAAACATCCAACACAAGGATAAACAAATAGGGCAAAAGGGGGTCGCCTTGCTTAATCCCTCGCATGGCCTGGAAGAAACCATTCGGACTACCATTTAACAAGATTGAGAACCAGCTTCGCTCAAGATTCGACATTAATATAGTATAAAAAATGGAATATAGTATATAATGTTTGGGACTATGAGGTCTCATATCCTACATATTTTATTAAGACATGTTTTAATAATTAGTATTGTTGTTATAATGTGCCTTAGGGGTGAGTTATCGTGTATTAATTTGAATATTACAAGTATGTGTAGGTAAAATACCTCTAAGACCATTATAAAAGTAATTGGCCATTTAGCCATTTTATAAGTAGTAGATAAAATAAAACATAAATAAATAAATAGAGTGGAACAGGAAGTAAATAATGCATAATTATAATAAGTGGACCAGCTCTAAATAGTTGCTGGCCAACATATACACAAACTAGAATGTGACTAATTAAGTCTACTAGGCTAGTTAAATAAAATAATGGTCAGATGAGTAACAAAAAAAAAAAGGAAAAAGAAAGGGGGGCTGGAAACGAGAAGGACAGAGAGGTTGAGGGGAGGAGAGAACTAAGAAGTTGAATAAGGAAAACAATTTGAAATTGTGCTTGGGAGCTAAGGGACATCGAGCTGCAGGAGTGAATAATCCTTTCTCCCTTGTTTAATCATTTATAGAATTTCATCTCAATACTCAGATGAGTCTCATTTTAAGAATCCAGTTAGTTTACATATTGAGATTTGGAAGATTTAGGGATTGTGGGAATGAAGAAACACACAAGAAGTTTGATGATTATTGCATGTTCTTCTACTTTAACTAGTAATCTTTATTAACTTGCAAGAAGGATTGATATCTTTGATGTCTTTGTTTTCTTTTCTGATATTTTTCGTTTAGGAAGAGTAGCTGCAGATGATATTCTCTGTTTTATTGCTCATTACATGCTTCGTTAATTTGAGTAATTAGATATATTGAGATTGAAATCCTAAGAGTACTGAATCGGAGGTTTTGAGGCTGAAATCTCTTGTCTTTTTTTTTTTAAATAAATAAGAAGGTTGAAAAGAAGTTCGGGTTCTAACTGACTTAAAAACACTCAAGGGGTCTACCCAAGAGATGAATTTTTAAGGTTGTTATAGCCAAATGATATGATGCACCCAAGAGGTATACCCAAGGGATGGACATACATATCATTTAGTTCCTTACCTTCCTCCCTCCCTTATTTTATTAAATATCAATCAGAAACTTGACAGTGCATAAGACTTACCAGTATACAAAAAGCTATTTGTAGCACGACCGCAGATATGGAAAGGAAACCTAATCTAGGTGTACAAGTCCCCTAACATGTCTAGGTAAACTACTCATAGTATTGTATCTGGTTGATATTCCAAGAGAAGCTTCACCTACTAATCCATCTGCCACTAAATTTGCCTCTCTAAAAATATGTTGAACAGTATAGGCCCGCATCTCCATAATGTGACAAATTTCCATCAAGTGAAAAGAATGATTCTATGGAACATTCTTCATAGACAGTAAAAGGCTCGCCAAACCTTTATTGTCTGTTTGAATATCCACCTTCTCTAAGCCAAGCTGACAACACTTCCTTACCCCAAAGAGGACTCCATGAACCTCCGCATCAAAACTATCACCTCCTCCTAAGTAACCACTTTCACCATATACAAAGCTACCATTCCATTTCCTGATGCAAAAGCCATATCCAGAATCCGAATTAATAAGTGAGCCATTAGTGTTAAGAACATAATCACTACCCTCTGAAGCCTTCCAACTAACACCCATACAAGTTCTCATCCGTACCTTTTGAAGCTGAAAGCCAAAATTATTTTCAATCCAATTCCTCTCTTCTACATTCCGCGCCTTCAAATCATGAGTCATGAAAACATTCCTTATGGTTACCTTAGTTGCCAAAATAACCTTTTCCCTATTGAATTTCTCCACATCAAAAAGCATTTTATTCCTCATTTTCCAAATCTCCCAAAGAATAAATGACGGAATAATCTTGATAAGAGCTTTTAAAGCTGAAGAGAACCACGATTCCACCACTCATATAAAGTCACAAGCAAGTTAAGTTCCTCCCTCCATGGCATGCCAAACAAATGAGAAAAGAATTTCCAAATTTCCTTGACCTCCAAACACTCAAAAAGACAATGCGCCATTGAGTCACTTCTGACCTTACAAAAAAGACACATAGATGGCAAAACTTGTATTCCAAACTTACTCAAGATTTCTGGAAATGACACAAGCGAATTCCGCAACTTCCACACAAAAAAAGAGATTCGCAAAGGAATCAATTTATGCCAATAATTCTTAGAGAAGTTATCCTCCAATCCTCTCTTCCTTAGGCTCAAATAGGCAGATTTAATGGTGTGAAATCTGGAAGAAGAATGCTACCATATTAACAAGTCGCAGCCTAGTACAAGTATTTCATCAGAATGCTCCAAAGTCCGCAACACGTCCAAGGGTAACACGTCTTTCAATTCATTTAAATATAAAGATTTGTTAGTTATGAAATCTTTAATGGTCAATTCCAGGGGATTCTCATTCAAATCATTCTATATCACCCCCGTAGATGTCAAGTTTTCAAACCAGAAAGACCGATCTCCCCCGCGAACTAGAACCTTTGAGCCTTGCGATACTTCCTCATCAACTTTCATGATTCTACTCCAAGATGTTCTATCTTTTGCTGAAATCAAAAGAGAAGAAATAAATTTACTCCATAATCCACTCTGCTGCTTGAACTTCCACCATAATTTACATGAAAAGGTGCTCAACACATCATCAAATTTCCGCAACCCAAGTCCATTTTCGGACGTAGGAAAAGTCAGCCGATCCCAAGCTCTCCAATGCCTCCTCTTTTCTTCATTCCCCCCATGCCATAGAAAACGTTGACATTTTCTCTCCATTTCCTTCAACACACTTACTGGGGGAGGAATACCTGCCAACACATGAATCGGCATTACCGATAAAACATGTCGCAAAAGAATTAATCTTCCAGTGGTGACAAGAACTTATTTTTTCCAGCTAGCAATTTTTGAGTCTAAAGAATCCAAAAGGAATTGAAATGAATTTGCTCTACTCCTTCCATAGAATAAGTTGCAGCCAAGGTACTTAAATGGAAAAGAAACCTTAGACATAGACAAAATTCGCTTTATGATTTCCACCCGATGAGCACTAACTCAGCCACCAAAAAGAAACTTTTACTCCTATTCATTCTTTGACCAGAAGCTACTTCATATGCTTCGAAAAATTTAGTCAACTCCTTCAATTGCCTTGCTTCTCCCCTTGTAAAAATAATGAGATCATCTGCGAAGCTTAAATGTGAAACCCTCATAGAGCCCGCCAGTGTGCCATATGCAGCAACTTTATTCCTCCTAACAGGATCATTCAACTTCCTAGACATTACCTCTGCAATCAAGATAAATAAGTAAGGTGATAGTGGATCACCTTGCTTTATTCCGTGAGACGATTGAAAGAAACCTGTTGGGGAACCATTCACTATTACCGGAAACCAGTTGTTCTTAAGGTTATTCATAACCAAAAGATTGAAGTGACTTGGAAACCCTAACTCCATCATTACTTTTTCCAAGAAGCTCCAAGAGACCCTATCGAATGCCTTCATTATATCAATTTTGATAACAACATTATTCCCAACTGCCTTATGGTTTATGAATTGACAAAGGTCTTGAGCCAAGACAACATTGTCAATTATATCTCTCCCCGATAGAAAAGTAGATTGCTCCTCAAAATTAATTTTCGGCATTACCAAATTCAATCTTTCAGTAAGAATTTTTGTGAAAACCTTATTAAGAAAATTGCATAAACTGACTGGCAAGAAATCAGAAAATGTACTAGTCGAAACCTTCTTCGAAATTAAAGTAATCACAGTACTTGCCACTGCCCTCAGAATTGGAGAACCGTTCATAAATCTTCACATGCAGCTTTAAGATCATCAGCTATTATGTCCCAACATGACTTATAGAAGCTCCCTCCAAACCCATCTATTCCAGGCGCACTTTCTTCATCAATATTGAAGACCGCCGACTTGACTTCTTCCATTGTAACCGGGCCAATTAACATTTCCTTCTCCTCTAAGCATAAGCCATCATTTAGCTGATCAAGGAAAATTTGTTGCTTTTCATTCTCGTGCAAATGAGGTGAATCCTCAGTAAGGAGATGTTGAAAAAATTCCACCGCCTCTTTTTCTATTTCTCCCAATTCTGTTAAAGTCCGGCCATCATACGTTTGTATCTTCTGAATCCCCATTCTCATCTTCTTTTCAGCAAGAGAAGTGTAAAAATAGGCAGGATTATTATCACCTTCCTTTAGCCATGTTAAACGCATTTTTTGTCGCCAAAAATCTTCATGCTCCTTGAGTTTTTGAAGCAAAAATGCCCTAGCTGAGTGTAGGTTTTGCCTATCATTTGCGTGACCAGAATGATCATACGGCACTTCCAACTCCTTCACTCGTTCCTCCGCATTTCTCAAATTCTCAAAAACATCACCAAAATGCGTTTTATTCCATTCCTTTAACACTAGCTTCAGTCTACGCAATTTCATCAAGAAAGCCATCATGCCAAAGCTATTTGCCGGCTGCAACCAACTAGCTTTTACAATGTTCTTGAAGTCAACTCTTCTAAGCCACATTTTCTGAAACCTAAAACATCTTGGTCTAGTCTCAAGTTGAGTATCAAACTGAAACAACAAAGGGGAGTGATCCGAGGTAGTGCGACTTAAGAGCTCAATGGAAACACAGGGAAATATTTCCATCCACTCTTGAGAGAAGAGGATACGATCCAACTTCTTACTAACCCAACCTGTAGCATGCGTCCCACCCTAAGTGAATTTCATCACCAACCAAAGGATCTTCCATCAGATTATTAGCTTCTATGCACTGGTTAAACTCATCAATAGCACCATAATCCTGAATTGAGTTTCCCGAATATTCTTCCAAAGACCTTAAAGCGTTAAAGTCTCCCCCCCCCCCCAACAACCCAAGGCTGAGATTGATGCAAACTTCTGAAATTTTCCAAATCTGACCATAGAGATCTTCTCTCCACTTTTTGTGACTTGGCATATACCGCAGTGAGTAGAAAAATTTATTTGAAGAGGCACATATCCAACCTCAAAATGCATTGCCTTCTCACCAATTTGCAACCGGTTAACGGTGTAGAAATTATTATGAAAAACCCAAATTTTACTAGTACTTGAGGAGAACGCAAAATCAAAAAATAGGTCACACCTTATTTCATCCAATTTATTTATTGTTAACATTGGTTCCAAGATCACCAGAAAACCAACTCTATAAATCCGAACAAGTGCTCTCAAACGTCGCTGAGAGGCTTCCTTCCTTATTCCTCTAATATTCCAAAAAAATAATACTTATCATTGAAAATATTAGAGATTATTGTAACCAGTGTGATCGCCGAACCTCTTGTCCATCCAGTAGCCTGGCTCGCTCCTCCTTCAATTTGCGGCCTCTTTTCTTCTTGGTAGAAAAAACCCCTTGCACTTTTCCACCAAAAACAGCCTCATCCTTATTGCCTTCAGACCAACAATCCCCTTGCGCAATATCATCATCATCCGTTTCATTCAAATCCTTTACCAAAGAATCATCCGGGTAAGCAAGCTTTGCAAAACCTTCATCCTGGTTATTGGTCTTTGTTTGATCATCCTGAACCACTTGAGCATGATGATTTGCTTCTGTATACACAATCTCTTCTTCTACTTCATCCTCCTCGTTATCCAAAGTTTTAGCCGCGACCCCATCATCATCCAAGGCTTCAAGAAGCGCGAACTTATTAGATTGAATTATTGGAGCTTCAATATTCAACTGAACTTCATTCGCTGATAAATCCTGATCAAGCTGGGTTGATTGCAAAGAGAACCCATCATCCCCTTGCGCGATGACTTCCTTCTTTGAACCTTCTTCAGCTCATTTCTCAGGATCAAAAGAGCCATCACTCCCTTGCGCGATGACTTTCTTTTGCACACCATCAACATCTCCCACCTTATAACAACCAGAATACAGAGGTTGACTATCAATAATATCAACAGGAATAGGACTTTTCTCCAATGCCGACAAGCCCGAAGTTGATTCCCCGGCATGAGTTTCCGCAGGCTTGGAAATTAGGGTTTCCGCAGGCTTCAAAATTCCCGCAAGCTGTGATTTTTCAACAGCAGTCTCTACACACTTAAGTATAAGAGGGTTTTCCTGAATAATAGTGACCTGTAATTCATCCTTTTTACCTTTCTTTTTGGAACCCCAAGTAACCTTTTTCTGCTGCAAACGGAAGCCACCCTTAGCCCTAGTCGAATTTTTCTCCGCAGCGACTTGTTCTACTTTTTTCAGATCTTCTTTTATCACACCTTTTCCTTTCCTACAGTCCACTTCTTTATGTCCAATTTTGCAGCACGCTGGACAATAAGACGGAACATATTCATAGGTATAATGCTGCTCGTACTTCTTTTCTTTTTTCCCAGTTCTGATTGATTTCGGCAACTACTTCATTAGATCAACCTCAACGCATAATCGCGCTACTGAAGGCCTTGTCAAATTAAGGGTTGGTGTATCCACTTGCAAGGGCTTCCCAATAGTGGAGGCAATGGAGTAGAGCACGGTAGGGTGTGTCCATTCCAAAGGCAGCTCATGAAGTGAAACCCAAATTGGGATGATCGGAGGATCTTCCTCGAACTTAAACCCCGATTGCCATTTCAAAATGCGCATTTGAAATCCGCCAATATTCCATAAAGATGTGATCCAACATCGTTGATAGTCCTCCTCTAATTCGAACCGAATCAACACATGTCTCAGATTCATAAGACCAAGGTCATAGCCGTCTTTGAATCCAATTTTTTTAAAGTCTTCCCGCAAGATCTCCATTTTTGGTCGACCATACGAGAATTTCCCAACCAGATTCATCTTGTGCGAAGCAATCAAATCTTCGAACTCATCATCTTCATATTCAAGCTCCAGAGTTCCATTGAAGAAAGTGACCTTCTTAGGATTTTTTGGGGGATTTGAAATCCACCATATTCGGGTTTCCAGTAACTGGTTTTCCAAAAAAAACTTGCAAATGTGCGACATTGTCCAGTGGGGACTGTCGGGGTAGCATTGGTTTGTGGTATTCTGGCCATGGTGGCTGGAAAAAGAAGCCGTCAAAGCTAGGGTTTTTGAAAAGTAGAGAGAAGCGGGATAGAGAAAAAACCTCTTGTCTTTTGTTGTCTGCTCTTGCTAAGCTTTTACTTAAATTCAATCTTAATTTAGTGAGAAATATGATTCCTCTTTTAGCTTCCAATTGGAGTTAGGACGATCACAAAAGGAGGTTTATTCATACATGATGTAGTTTCTAAAATTTCAGAAAATTACCCAGTCTGAGTAGCTGTTTTGCAGAGCCTCGTTCTCTTTGCTCTAAAAACCTTTTTAAAGATTTTCTTTTCATAAATATCTTCTCCATTCAAATTAGGTTAATATGGTTTTTACAGTTTATGAATTGGATATACGGATTGCTCAGAATTTGGATTTGAAAATGCCCATTCGTTACGGATGGACTGATTTTGAAAAATTCCTGGTGCAGGGCACTGTTTTCAAAGTCTGATTTCTTCTGTTTAACAAATCATTTTCCCTGACTTCTTTCACTTAATCTACTCTATGTTTAACCTAGTTTTTACTGGTTTTAACGGTTTCCAAATTGGACATTTGATTGGACGGGAAATCGACAATGAAAAGAGGTCATTGCTGCTGCGATTTTTGAATTTTAAGAACTGATATACTAACCTTGAAACTTTTTTTTCCTCTTTGATTTAATGTCCTTCTCTTACTGAATATCTGCATATTTACTTTCTAAACAGTAAGTAATGAGTTAGCATCTACAAACTTCAAAAAAATGGCATTTTAAATAAGACTAATGACCATTTGCTTATATCTAGTTTAGAGATCTAAGAGTTAGAAACCTGAATTAAGTAGGACTTAGAATTATGCGTCTATCTTTAATTTAATGACTGAAATGCTTAAAGAAAACCTCTGTTTAGGCACCTTAAACCTGTAGATTGCTTAGAGGATACTCATGTGAGTTCGGTGGAGGTTTTGGAGGACACTTTGGAGCAATATCAGGATGAGCCAAGTAGGTATTTCCAATTCCGTTGTTTATGGATTGTATTATCATTACTCTCTATTGTGCCATTTAAATTGCCCTTTATGGTGTTTCCCATTGTGTACTTTATCGCACCAGGAATGTCATATATGCATGTAAATAATTTGCTATATGCTTGTCAAGAGTATACTTGTGCATAACTGCCATGAAATTGAGAAGACTTGGATGTTTACTTGACCACACCAGTCTTGGGGCCCCCCTACCATATATCGAATCCAAGAAGTCGGCAAAGGGCATCGACGTATGGACAAGATTATGGATAGCTTGAGTAGGCATGCACGAGCTACGAGTACTTATTTGTGGCCACTTGGAGTGAAGGGAAATGAATCGTTTGTTGATTGAAAGAATGAATCCTTCCTTAGAGTTCAGTTTGGAAGTCGACCAATAGGGCCACGTAGGCCCTTGGCGATTCTAATCTTTGGCTCTCTTGTATCCTTTAATTATTGTGCTTGATGGTTCTTGTGATAACCATCTTTAACGTGCTAACGAATGATTGAATTTGTGACAATGGACTGTTTGAGTTACTTGATTATTCTTGCTATAAAGTCTACTTAAATGTTCTATGTGGTTTTGAATAAATGCTTTGCATAAATTTAAATGACATTAGATTGTTGTGATAATGCAATCGAATTAGAAACATATTGGGGGTAAGCTCACCTTTTAATATCCCCCCTTCCCCCACAGCTCCATCAGAGGAGGAACTTGGTTACTGGGGTTATAATTTGTGATTTGGAATTTGGCTCAAGATGTTTTTTACTGTACATAAGATCACGACTAACTTTTACTCTTCTCTTTTGTGAACATGTGTAAGCTAGAGGCTTTAGTGTTCATTTTTGGGGTTGTATGTTTGACGTTAGCAATCACTTCATATAGTATGTCGTTGTGCCTAGTGTTGGATCTCTTGGCTTGTGGCTTACATTTGTAAAACTTGAAAAAAATGCAGGTGCACGTAGATTTTGATAGAAAGAACCTTGTTAGCTTCTTTTTGTTTTAAACCAAGTCTTTTGACTTGGTGATGTAAATGTAACCATGTGTGTATATATAAAAGGCAACGAATGTCTTAGCCTTTGTGAGTTTGTGTTTAATTTCCTTTTTTTAAAAAAAAAAAGAAAAAAATTGAATTGAAACTTGAGTCCTAGCACGAGCTAGGCAGGCGTTCGACTTTACTGCTCGTTTTAAATAGAGGGTAAAGTTGGGGCGTATCAGGGACACAACGATGAAATGAATCAGAATCAAGAAAACTAATGAACATTTATGTCATCTGGATTGCTTCTTAGTAAACAATATTTTCGTCCGATTACTATATTCTTCTTCCGTGCTACATCTAAGTACTTTAAGACTCTGTCTAGATTTCACCTTAAAAAATACAATATATTGTTGTCCATGGGTAAAGACTAGACGTGGCAAAAGTAGACCCACTTGCGAGAGTGACCCTGACTCTTATTGATCGTCATAGCAAAATACACAACAATCGGGAATTCTCTCATCTAGAATCTAATCGGTATCCTTATGTCGGATGGTTGGATGTCCATACATAGAATGAATATTTGTTTATGACATTTAATCTGTATATAATAGTAGCTTGGATGACGCGGTTACCCAACTCATCAACCTGAAGTCTGGTACCATTGCACAGCTAGCTGGTCTAGATTTTGAAGAAGCCCCTTTGGTGCTATTATTCATCCTTGATCAATTTGATTGAGTTCTTAGAAAATAAGAATGATTCCTTTCTTGTTCGAAATCCCAAAAGAAAAGTAAAAAAATTTGGCACGCATACAAATTAATGAAACGAAAAAATTAAAAATTTGTTGAAATTATGTTGCCTTGTAAAATAATAGTAATCAATATATAAACATAATAATAAACATATCTGGACAAATCAAACAACCCTTTTCATCTATTAGCAACCTTCCAATGGTATCATCCGAGTGTGACAGCTGGGAAAATTATTTTGCCGACCAGAATATTAGATTTAATTGGCCGTAGTGTGTCATTGCTAGTTTTTAAGGTAGGATTGGGGATAAACATTTATTCACATATAATCATATCAAATATAATTTGTTTTTATGTGATATGTCAATTTTAGTTATTGAATATTTTGTCCATGATAAGAGGATATTAAAACTTAATTCATTTGGACATAATATTTTAAATTTAAATTCTACAATTATTAAGATCAGAATAAGTAAATACAACTGTTTCAATAAATAGATTAATCGACTGATAGAATTTGACTGTGAAAATAAAACAAAAAAAATATTAAGTGAGGAATTGCAACAAAACATGTAGTAAACATCAAGATGCATAGCTTTTACTCCTTTTTTTAATACAATTACAAACTCCTACCCTTCTATATATATATATATATATATATATATATATCTGTGTGTGTGTGTGTTTGTGTGTGTGTGTGTGTGTGTGTGTGTAAACTCCTACGATAGAAGGCAAGAGAAAGAATAAGAACTGAAATATTGATAAATATTGAGAAATAAAAAGTTGAGATTATAAGAATTTATGAAATTTGAGAGATCATCCCATTAAATAAAAAAATAAAAGCCGATCTATTGCACTATATATATTCACAAAGAAAATAATACATATAACCTATTCATGTTCACCTGAAATAATTTACTTTCTGTATAAGTCTAAAATAACTCTATGTATGTCACAAAATAAAACGAAATAAAAAAAAATATACACATATCAATATTAATCTAATAACAAGTAGTCATAATTGATACCTAAAAAATAAAATAAAATAAAATGAAAAACATGTATTAGACGTACATATCTTGAGGAGATACTCTAATTTATCTTTTTTCTATTCTTTTTGAAATCATGTACTTTAACATAGTTATAACTAAGTGGCAATTTTTATCATTATTACTCATGCCATCCTGTCCAAATAAAATTACATACAGGTTGTCCAAATAATAACATAAAATTAGATCATTATGAAAATTGTAAACATTTTCAAACTGACAAGCTAAAAAATGACCCGATAGTTCCATATCATTTACCGACGGAAATATAAGGTATACAATTTTTCCAACTGATTCATTTTTTTCTTAATAAAATGTTGTGTTGATCATTTAACTTTGATCATTTAACTAATAATCACATTACTTACCACATGTATGTACATAGAAATCAAAATACTTACATACATGTTGTTTCCTTAAAGTTTTCTTAACCCAAGGAAGGTAGATTATATATTGTTGCGAATTTTACGAAATAGAGAGTGTCGAAAATATTGGGGTTGGAGAACTACCTACAAATCTGTAAAAGAAAAAAAATGTACTGCATCGGAGCGCCTGTTGATTGAAAACCTTCTCTTAATATATAATATAGAATATAGATTCATTTTAGACATTTTGCATAACTAATTTTCTCATTTGCGATCAACATCTTTAGTATTATATAAAACGTTCTTAGTGGAAAAAAAATATGAATGAAAGATCCTACTGAATAGAATTAGATCCATGAATCTAAGAAAACTTTTAGGTGCATTTCATGAAAAAATCCATTAAATAGACGGGCAACTAGCAAAATCAGTCAACTCTTTGATATTTAAAAATTTTTTTAGTTATGTGGGCCCCATAATTTTTTTAATAGTTTAAAAAAAATTTAAAAAGCCAAAAAATTAAAATAAATAAGTAAAATAAAGCGCAAGATTCTTCCATTTCCTCCTCCACTCACTATGCGAACAAAGGAAAGAACTTTATTCAAAATAGCACATATCGTGTGGATAAGATTGAAATACAGGAGATTGAGTGATAGCAGTCTAGAAGATTAACCTGATTTCGTTAAAGGAACCATCATCGAGAAAGTACGAAAAAGATTTTTCCAGATGTGAAACTCTAAAAGAGTGCGGAAAATCACAAATAAACAAGCAACTCAATCATAGAAGATACTATCTTATGAACTCTCACTAAGATAACAAACACAAAATCCAAATAACTACCCGCATTAAGTAATCAAATCAACTATGATTAGACCAAATAATATAATGGAACAATCACCCATATAATTGACGATACATGCAATGAGCTAATTACTCACTGAACTACAAACAAACCACTCGAATATAGTTCACTATATTGGATAAAAGGCAATAAGCATACAAAACACATTATTCATTATACTATTTCCATGCAAGCTCATCTGTATTAAATAGATAAACCAACAATGTATCCTACAACCCCAGGACACAATAAACTCGAATAAACCAAGCAATCAAACATGCTTAACCTATCGGCCATCATATCTAAAGACGATAAGAAAATTAGTTTCAAAACAATTAAATCATGCAACACACAAAACATGATAAAACAGTTTACTCAAAGAACCAAATCACATGTTAGGCTCTAAGAAAGAAAGAAAGAACTAACCATTCTTCTCCTTCAAAACAATAAGATATGCTCATTGTTTAAGAAAAACCACAAAGAGCTCAAAACTCGTAGTTTGAATTAATAACTCATGACACATTACCACTATATTTGAGAGAATTCGGCCACCTATTTATAGGCAAGTTTCTCTTGCTCTCCAAGACAAAAATCCTAATATTTAGGCTTTACTTTAGCCTAAAAAACTCTACTTTCCTTGTACTATTCGATCCAATTCACAGAAAGGAAAGACGTAGCCAATTTTGACTCAAACTCTAACTGAACTTAACCATCAAGTAAAGTAATTAACTTTACTTCTTTTAATGGTAAAAGACTCAAATAACCTTAATGAAATAAAAGGACCTCTTGGCCGCCCCCTCTTGAAGTTACCTTAAGGGTAAACTTTTTATTTAACTCTAGGTAAATAAACTTATTATCTATTTATGGACTCAACAATAATTTAAATAATTTAGGTTAAATACTTCTCGCGCGTTTCCTTCCCTTTGTTTGGCGCGCACGGCTCCATCTTCAATTTGATGTCTTCTTCACACGTGAGTGTGTATCTTCAATCCCTTCAAGGTGCTTGCTCTTTGGAACAAACTCACTTGCATCAATTTCTTGGACATCACTTGAATCTCCATCACTTGAATCACTCTAGTTGCTAGGGAAATCATCACTTGACTCCTTTGACACTTGTTGATTAAGCGATTCTTCTTCAACCTCATTGTTCCCACTAAAAGGTGTTGGTGATAATTCCTTCAAAGGAGGCCAACTTCTCATAGCAAACTTTCTTCTATTCTTGAAAGGAAACAATCTTGGTCCACCAATCGACAAGAACACCTTTTCCTCCTTCATTTGGTTTTGACTTCGATGGGAAGCTATATGGTTCTATCATCCTTCTCTTCTTGAAAAGGATTCGTCCTCGAATCTAGACTTTCACCATTACCTACAAAATGAACAAACGATAAATCTTGGTTAGTGTAGAGTGTTCCTCCTACACCACCACTCGATTCACCCTCCACAAATGTACCTTCCTTTTTATTTTGTTGTACATTGTTCACTTTGATAAACTCCTTTTGAAGCACACGTTTTCGAAACATGATATGTTCACTCTCCCATGGCGATAATGATCTCAACTCGACCAACTTATAGGCACGATCTCTATATGAAAACGTATTCAATGCACCAATGTAGACTATTCCCATCTTCTTAATAAATGGTATACCCAAAACAACATCACACGCCGTCATAGGTACTACATCAAGCAACTCAAATATCTCAAGCTCTCGTATACGAAGATTCACTTTAGCGTTTTGAGTAACGCTCAATTCCATTCCACCATGTAACCAGCGTAGCTTACATGGTTCACACAAGTCACTCACTTCCAAGTGATTAGCTCTTACAAACTCCTCACTTATGTAATTGACACTACTACCCCCATCAATAGCAACAATCAAGTTATCTACCCACTCTATCGCACCCAAGGTCTGAAAGCCACGATCAACATTTGATTCTACACTATGTTGAGTGTAACGCAACACCTTGTTCTCACAAGGACTCGCTGCCCTTTCTCAAAATAACCCTATTCCTTTGTGCTTTCAACCTTACTGCCGTACCAAATGCATGATACTAATCAATTTCACCCATTATAGATGTTTCATGCTTATACCAAGAATTCAAGCCATTAAGAAATCTCGCAGCCAACACTTCATTCAACTCATGGTTGTCACTATTCACACACAACTCTTCAAACTTAGCAATGTAAGACTCGACATCCATGTAGTCTTGAGTAAGATCATTCAATTCAGTTTGGTAATCACAAGCAATCTCACTATTCCAAAACCTATTGTACAATGCATCTTTAAATTCATACCATGAAGACAAACTTCCTTCCTTATTACGCAAGTACAGGACACTCCATGTTTTAGCAATGTTTCGCAAACCACAAATAGCAATAGACACCTTAATGCTATCTCTAGTTACTCCTAACACATCAAACAAATTTTCAATGGACATAATCCACGACTTTACTCCCTCGCAAATCCCTCCATAGAACGTAGGAATTTCAAGTTTCAAATTTCCAACTCTAGTAGACTCATTCGCAGCAACCATTTGAGAATTCAAATCAATTAAGTTACGAGACAAACCTATACATGATTTAGCAACTCTCTTATAGAACCACTCTTTCATGTTAGTGCGTTCTAACAATCCATCATTCAAAGCTCGAAGCAAGCAATCTTCTTTCTCCAATTGCTTTTCCTCCATAGCTTGCACCATTGCCTCCAATGTTTGCATCTTGGTAGCAACTTCATTACAAGAACAACACAACTTGGATCTAGCGACCTCTTCACTCATGATGATGCGAAAATAATCACCTTAAACTAGACAAAATTCCTTGGATTTTTGATGATAAATCCGAGAACCACCTCCCCCCCCCCTCTCTCGAATCAAAAGAAGATTCGACAATTACACTCCCCAAACTAATTAACAAGAACTCTCTTCACCTTTTAAGAGGTGATCTCTCGAAAGAAAAGAAGAAAAGAGAAGGTTTAGTTTCTCCTTCAATCTCAAGACTTTATGCAAGCTTTAGCTCAAAGATCAAAAAGAAATTTTGGAGGTTGGGATGTATGAAAATCTCTGCCAAAGCACCCCTTTATATAGGCATGAGATGGCTTTTCCTACAAGGACTTTCCAATTAAAAATAGGTTTAGTTTTTAGGCAATTCTCCTATTTTAAATATTTAAAATTTTCCAATTAATAAAATCCTAATTAATGTCCAAATTTTCTTCCGAAATTAACAAATAATTCGGCCAAAAACATTTAAAAACAGCAAGTTTAATTAAAAAATTTACTTAATTCATAAAACACTAATTTTTACAAAACTTTCTCAAAAAGAAAAACCCTAATTTCCTAATTCTTTTAAGCCGAAAAAGACACAAATAAAACAAGTAATATACCTTAATAATTTTTAGGAAACTCCTTTAATTCCCCTCCTATTATATAGGTAATTAACAAATAAAACATTTTTTCCTTTTAGTATTTCCTAAAAAGAAAACACGGTGCATACACACATTCACACAAGCACAAATTTCTTTTCCCGCTCAAAATAGGAATTAAAATTTCGGCCACTTCACAATTAAGTAGCTCTCGAAATTATTCAATTAATATCAAGGCCAAAAACTTTTATTTAAATACTAAAAACCCTCTTTCAATCATGTAATTAAAATTCAAAAATATTAATCATGCATTCAAGCAAATTTATTTCATCTACCAAGTACAAGAAACTCAACAAACAAAAATCACATAGACTCAAAAGATCTAAGACCTAATTTTTGAAAATATTTGTTTAAAACACTTAAAACAATATAAATTAGATACTTTTAACACAAGTAATCTCCAAAGTACGTCATGGAAACTCTTATATGTGTAAACCCTAGAGTATAAACTCTAAAACTCATATCTCATTCATATGACTCAACAAGAATTAAAACACATAGTCACATAAAAGATAGACTCTTTGAAAATCAAATTTCAAACTAATGAAAAATCTAATCTCCACAAAAAAGGTCTCGTTATTCTTGTAAAGAATTCAAACAATTAATCACTAACCCAAAAGTTCAAAGAACACATTGATCTCTTTAAGTTACCTTGCACATATACTAAATCAAAACGTAAGAAAGCTTCAAATTAAATCACACAAAGTCGACGAACAACCCGACAAGGAAGTCAATGAAGACACTTCACATAGCACATTAGTTTAAAACTAACCCTAAGTCGGCACAAGACTCAATTTAATAAAACCTAATAGTGAGGACTTCTGATTGATTGAAACTCCACAAACCCTAAATTTTACTCTTCTCCAATTCAAAAGAGCTAAAGTCAAGAAGGAAAGATCATCACTTCCATATACTAAGTAGTATACTTTCATGAATACTCCACCTTTAAAATTCATAGATCATAAATTCAAAGAACCTAGACCTACACACACACACACACACTTGCTCATGTATACATAATCTCTCTAAAAAAAGGTAAGGCTATGTGCTTTCGCTTTTGACATCAAACCCTAAATCAATTAATCATAGTACACATAAGTTTCAAATCACTTGATCTAGAAGAAACCAATCTCCAATCTCAACTTCAAAGAAAATCTCGAGTGAAGCCCTACTTGAATCAATTGTTTACACAACTTCAACCAGACTCACTAATTTCTCGAAACCAAAACACTCAAAAATTTATCTTAAAGCAATACCTAGTTTTCGCACAAAATATTCAATAAAGAAGAACTTATAAAATTGTAATTTAAATCTAGTTTAATTTACTTTTCTCAAAACTCTTTTCAAAAACAAAAAGAACCTCAATCCAAATAAAAGATAGTCCCACCGATTCTAACACATTGCTAGGGTTTCGAACCATATTCCCAAAGGAATCGGATATCTTCAAAACCTTTGCTCTTATACCAAAAATTGATAGCAGTCTAGAAGATAAACCTAATTTCGTTAAAGGAACCATCATTGAGAAAGTACGAACAAGATTTGTCAAGTTGTGAAACTTTTAAAGAGTGCGGAAAATCACAAATAAACGAGCAACTCAATCATAGAAGATACTATCTTATGAACTCTTACTAAGATAACAAACACAAAATCTAAATAACTACCCGCATTGAGTAATCAAATCAACTATGATTAGACCAAACAATATAATCGAACAATCACCCATATAATTGATGATACATGCAATGAGCTAATTATTTACTCAACTACAAACAAACCACTCGATATAGTTCACTATATTGGATAGGACATATTCATAACCAAGGCAATAAGCATACAAAACACATTATTCATCATACTATTTCCATGCAAACTCATCTACATTAAATAGATAAACCAACAAGGTATCCTACAACCCTAGGACATAATAAACTCGAACAAACCAAGCAATCAAACATGCTCAACCTATCGGCCATCATATCTAAAGCCGATAAGAAAATTAGTTTTAAAACAATTAAATCATGCAACACACAAAACATGATAAAACGTTTTACTCAAAGAACCAAGTAATACGTTAGGCTCTAAGAAAGAAAGAAAGAACTAACCATTCTTCTCCTTCAAAATAATAAGAAACGCTCATTGTTTAAGAAAACCACAAAGGGCTCAAAACTCATAGTTTCGAATTAATAACTCATGACACATTACCACTATATTTGAGAGAATTCGGCCTCTTTATAGGTAAGCTTCTCTTGCTCTCCAAGACAAAAATCCTAGAATTTAGGCTTTATTTTAGCCTAAAGAAACTCTACTTTCCTTGTACTACTCGATCCAATTCACAGAAAGGAAAGACGTAGCCAATTTTGACTCAAACTCTAACTAAACTTAACCATCAAATAAAGTAATTAACTTTACTTCTTTTAATGATAAAAGACTCAAATACCCTTAATGAAATAAAAGGACCTCTCGGGTTGAGTATGGAATAAAAGTAATTAACTTTACTTCTTTAATGGTAAAAGACTCAAACAAGTCCTTATAATTTCTCTCTATTTTTTTATTCCATATGTTTACGTTTAATGGCGAAAGTATTTTTTTAAAAAAACAAGACTTTGTATTAACTTTACTGGAAATCGTCCAGTAACGATCGAGACAAAAAGAGTACAACCACTGAACGATTATAACTGCCCATATGCTATATTCAAATCAAAACTATTGTATTCACTATAATTTAACCTATACAGATATAGATCTATTCGGTTGAATTCTTCATTATCAGTTGGATATGTCACGTACCAAAACATGATGGCGAAAGCACTTTATTAAACTAATCGTGAATTTGGTTTTTTACTTCTTCTCAATTTTATTAATACATTTTTTATTAAGTTTATTAACTACTAGTAGTACTAATATGCTCGAGCGCGTTCGATTGATTCAAGTGCAATAGATGCATACTAGATGGTACCCGTACGATGTGCAGGATAGATAAATTATGTATAAAATCAAACATAATAAAAATCAAAGAAATATTTTATATTTTAGTAAATTGATATATAATATAAAAATACTAAGTTAAATAATGTTACATTAAAAGTAATTTTTATGCGCTAATTATTTACAGAAGAAAATAAATAGATCCATATATTGATCTACGTGTTAAATATATTTCATTTTCGTGAATCATCAACATATATTTCGCCATGTTGTCCCTAAGAAAACATCAAACATTGAAATCATTAATTAAGATTGGCAAAGAAACTCACCGTGATGTGCATTCGAAAATCCTTGCTACAGAAAATAATTGCCCATAATTTCTAAAAGTTTGAAGCGAAAAACTTTTGACACAAAAAAATAATGATTATTAAAAAGAAAAACATAAATCCTAAAAAAAAGAGAGAAGAAAAAGAAGAAAAGATTCCGGTATAAACTAAGATTGCAACCTAGTTGAGTTTTATAAGCACACTTTATATATACATAATAATTTTATTCACATTGTTAATGCGATTGGAGTGATTATAGGCATATGTTTATATTTGATTTTGTTAAAATAAAGTAAATAGATATTCGTGTATGCAATTATGACAGATGGTATATCTCCAAAAAATATTATCTACAATTTTTTTAATTATTTCAAATTTCAAAATAATATTAATATTGTTTAATGATCAAACCAATATGTAATGGTATTATTCAATCCAGTCGGAAAATATTTTCAAATCAATCAGTTTTAATGTAGAATTAAAGAATCATTGATGATTTTGTATTTATTATTTTCGAATTTCAAAAAAGCATTAATAATGTTTAATGATCAAACCAATATTAATAGCATTTTCAAGCCAATCAAAAAAAATTTTCAAATCAATCAGCTTTAATGTTGAATTAAAGAATCATTGATGATTTTGTATTTATTATTTTGAATTTTAAATAATTATTAATATTGTTTAATGATTAAATCAAGACATAATATTATTATTCAAGCAATTCGGGTAATCTTTTTCAAATCAATCTTATTTAATGTTGAGATTTTAAAAATTTTCCGTTTTCTTTTTCATTTTAGGGAATGTAAAATAAAAAGTTTACACACAATTAATTGATATACTTTAATTAAGAATTGATAACAATTTATTAAGTAGAAATTTAAAGAACTGTTAGTGTAATTATTGTAAATATTTTTTGCAACAATCTATAAAAAAAATGACACATAAGATTTTGTCCTATGTGTGAACGGGGGAAGAAGTTTGATTTTCTCTTTTTGGTTTTTCTCTTAGTATAATACTATAGATAGATAGATAGATGGCAAAGACGGTGAAAGTGAAACACCATTCAGTAGGTGTACTTTTTGGTAATTTAGCGGAAAATTTGGGCATTTATTCTAACCATTTGAACAAATTTGACGAGATGCCATCCAGAAACACTGGAAAAACCTTCCTCTGATCTGCAAATCCTCTTCACCGTTTTCGCTGATTCTGTACAGAACTAAGTTTTTTGTCCTTAAATTAAACTCTAATTGTTTCTGTAAATTAAACCTTCGCTTGGGCTGTTCTAAATATGCTGAAAAGATTGGAAAAATTGCCCCCTGTAGTGTAGTGTAGCTTAGAGTTTTTGCTGGGTTGCCATGTTTCATATTTGAATATAGATCCAACCCACAAAATAATTTATGCATTTAAATCAATCCAAAGTGTCTCTGTATCGAGAATGCTGATTTCGCTTCAGTAAATCCCCACATCTTCTTCTTCTCCTGAGGTAAATATAGCTGCCAATTTCGAGTTTATTCTTCTTTCTCCTTTGTTTCCATCCTTTTCGCAATATTATATATCTGTTGCATTTATAAATTTAATCGTTTGGTATTTAAATGGGCTACAATTAATTATAATTATTGGGTGCCATGTGTTTTAAGAATGAGTTAAGCAGCTCCTGCGTAGAATTACTGTAGTTTGAGGTTTTGCTAGGTGGTAGTCGGCAGCAGCATTTGCCTCTCTGCAACTATCTATCTGTTTTCGAGCATGTTAAGTCTCATTAAATTTAGAACTAATTTTGGGGTTTCCAATGTAGTATTGCAGATTTACGCTTTCGGTCAAGTGTTTAACATTAGATTATTTCATTAATAAGCTCCGATTGTAGAAAGGCTGTTTCCTTGTCGAGAAACTTGATGTATCATTTTTGTTAGTTAGTAAATAAAATGAATAATAATGTTATTTTACTGGAAACAACATCTAAATCACTTAGCAACCACATGGGGCTTAGTGGTGAAGAGGTTTTAACTTTTTTTTTTTTTGACTAATGACAAAACTGGAATTGTCTTGATTACTTTCATGGAAGTTATTAACTGAGGTGATACTATACGAGTCTGGGAATTTTAAAGTCTTACTGTATGTGATACCATTTTGGCAATAAAATGATAACTACCTTGAATGTCTATTCTCACATATTGTATATTGTAAACTTACATCTTGACCTCCTTTTATTGTTCAGAAAACTGCCCTCTCGTCTGGTTAAAGAGGAAAGATTTCTTCTTTGTGGATTTTGTTTGCATCAGCAAAAATAATTTATTGAAGTGATTAGGATGGACAACTCTTTTCCACGGTCGGTGTCGTTGAGGCCTAGTCGAAGGCTGGAATATAATCCTTCATCCCATCAAAAAGGTTGTAAAGAATCATGTTTGCTGTATTAATTCAGCTTACCACAATTTGAAGTAGTCCCTTATTGATTTTTCTGTAATTCATTAATATCTTTCGTCATTTTAGGTGGGAAATTTGTACCAGATTATTCTTTGAAGATAACGTGGAAAATGGGTTTTGTTCGATTGGTTTTGGTTGCTGGAATTATTTGGATGTTACTAATTCTCACTGTGTTGCTCTTCCATATTTGGTCATGTCAATCTTCTGTGGCTTTCTTTTCAGGTACTTGTTGCTTTATCTCATTATGAGTTACTTCCTGTTTCTCACTTACTACTATTTTCTATTATTATTTTTTTTCGTTTACTCGTGCTATTTGGTTAAATGGAAATTCAAAGAGGTTATTTTGTTTACTCTGCTAGCGTAGTCAAATGTGAAAACTTGACTAAGTTACTATATGAATTAGGCCTCAAGATGTCTGAATTGGAATTTCATTATTCAATTGCAGCGGTTTGGTCTTCAACTTGGGACTTACCCTACAATGTTGCTCATAGTACTGGAGAGTCAGAATGTTAGTTATGCTTAAGTTAAATAGCATTCTGGAAGCATTGATTAAGGGCCATGTTATTTGAAATATGTACGTAACTTGTTGCGTGTCTACTCTCTGAGGTTGAAGCCGATCCAAATTTCTTTCTTTTGGAATATGTAGAAACTGTTCTTTGATGTATTTGGAACAGTAAGGCTGAATCTGCTTTACAGTTTCAACTGCAACATTTTGTTTTTCTTTTTGGGTGTGCTTCTCTGAACAGTTTCTGTGTTTTTCTGAACAGTTTCTTCAGATGATTGAGACCTTCACATGTTTCATACTTTTTTAAAAGTTCAAATATTTCTTATGCTCATTCTAAATTGATGGTTTTGTGCAGCTTTCTGTAACAAGGAAAGTAGGGTGTTTTTCATGCTAAACTCTATGGGTCTTGTGAAACCGCTACACCGTAAGTTCACAGCTTCCTTTATAGTCCTTACTACCCAACTTCTCCCCTTCTCGCCCTCCCTCTTGAAAAGAAAAGAGCTCCATGATCTATATCATGTTTGTTTGTCTATAACAGCAGCATTTATTCTCATATTTTACTAGGCTGCCCTATTCCGGTGGCTGATGACCCCGATACTGTTGTCATTCCAAAGAGACGATCACCGGAAAGATTTGTCCAAAGTTTATCTTATGTGACAGAAGACGAAGTGGCAATAAACGGGTCGCAATCAGTTCCTCTTTTTGGAGGGCGTGAAACCTGGCAACAAAGGGAAGAAAGCTTCAAAGTAAAGCCTTCAATGAAGGTACATCATGTCACTTTCCACCCTTTTTCCATTTTGTCTGAGTTTTCTTTCTTCGTTCTTTTTCCATCCCAAAATAAAATTAAGAAAAAAAAGCCTTTTGTTTCTTTATTCTTATTTGTTTTACGCTAGCGGCTAGCCTATGTAGTGATTAGCGGGGATTGTCTATACAGATGGAAAACAACAATTAGAGACAGCATCTGATTTAACAATCACAATCCTGGTTTGATTAATAGAATATTGAGAACTCGAGTTATATACTTCCTCCGATCCTTGTTATAAGGCATTTTGATTTCTCCAAACTTTCATTTTGTATGTTCTTCCAATTTAAAATAAACACTTGAAATATTTTATAATAATTGGGAGAACACAATAAATGTGAAAATGCATTTTTAAGATTTCATTTTCAATTAGAAGAACATACTAAATAGGACAAATCAAAATGCATTATAATAAGGACCGGAGGGATATTTTGCTGTTGGTGATGTTTACTAGTTTTTTAAATTTCAGAAGTGCTTATGGTGATGGATTTAGAGTGTCATATTTCGTTTTAATCAGTTATAGATGGTATAACAGGTGCATTGTGGATTTACGAATAATAGCGGTGCAGATATGGACAAGAAAGACATCTCCTTTGTCAAGAAGTGTCACTTTGTGGTTGCGTCTGGTATATTTGATGGGTATGACTTACCATTGCAACCATCAAATATAAGCGAGCGTTCGCGGAAGCTCTTTTGTTTTTTGATGGTGGTGGATGAAGTATCTTATAAATTCATCAAGGAAAATGTTACAGTAAGAGAGGATGAGGCCAATGGAGAGTGGGTAGGTGTCTGGCGTCTGGTTTTGCTGAAGCATCCACCTTATGATGAGCCGAGGAGGAATGGAAAGGTTCCGAAGATATTAACCCATCGATTATTTCCTCAAGCGCAATACAGCATTTGGATTGATGGTAAAATGGAGCTTATAGTTGATCCTTTGCTTATATTAGAAAGGTATAGCGGCAACTGATTTCTCTTTACCTTTTTAAAATGGACATATGGTTACTGAGTTCTTTTGACATAAAACTCCATCTGTTGTTAAAGCTGATATTTTGCTATCACAATGGCTTTGTCTTGCCAGATTACACCCTGGATGTTACTGTGATAAGAGAATTAAGTTGTCTTTAAAGCGTTATGATTGATAAGCGTATTTTAGTATGAGGAATAATGTACAGATGGCAATTAGAAAATATATTTTATAGTCTCTTTATTGTCTGCGCCTATTTGCAAAAGTACATGCATGATCATTTGTAAACTCAAGATTTTCTTTTTACTTCTCCTTTAGATATCTATGGCGAGGAAAACACACATTCGCAATTGCACAACATAAGCACCATAAGAGCATATATGAGGAGGCTGATTCAAACAAAAGGAGGAAACGATATGCCCGTCCGTTGATTGATCTCCAAATGAAAATTTACCGTTACGAGGGGTTGGAGTCATGGAGTCCCAAGAAAAACAGTAAAAGCGGTAAATGAGGAATTGTACATCTTTTAAATTCTTTGAGCCTCTTTTGATTCCTGGGGAACTTATGAACATGTCCTGCTTTTTGCACTTAGAGATTTATTTGTTTGGCTGGTAAAACATATGTGTTACACTTTTGTTTCATATTCAGCGACAATATCGTATCTTATTCAATCGAAATTCTCATGTAATCTGCAGATGTGCCTGAAGGTGCCATTATTATCCGGGAGCACACAATGCTGAATAATCTGTTTAGCTGCTTATGGTTTAATGAAGTTGACCTTCTCACACCAAGAGATCAGCTGAGCTTTGGGTATGTTGTTTATAGATTAGGAGGCATTTTCAAATATTTCATGTTTCCGAACTGTGAATACAACTCGCTTTTTATTTTGCATCCACATATAAGGGAACATTCTTCTAAAATAGAATGGGTTAAATCATTAGCTGAATTTAAGAAAGATCCTAGTTTGAAAGAGACCAGGGGAGGACTAGGATTGTGGACTCCTTATCCTGGGAATCTTGATTCGGTTGTACTACCACCTGTGGCAAGAACATCAAAAGCTGGATAAACCAGCCCATTCTTTGGTTTTTCCTTCTTCTATTTCAGCTGTGAAGTTATGCATTTCACTAGCGGTTGAACACAATAATTGCGTGCAATACTGCATTCTTTTGTGCCTTCCTTTCAGTTTCTTTCTTTTCTTTTCGCGATAAAGCTGACAGTGAAGTGCTTCTTTGGAAAATCTATTTGAACTATTCTTTAGTGTGTGCGCTTTTTGTATAGAGGATGTAAAAAATGTCCACCGACCAAATTAAATTCTTCGGTGCCTCTCTGAGTGTGCCCATTTTTGTCCATTAGTACACACTACTGGGGCAAATAAACAGCTAGATGCTGAAATTAACATTTGTTCAGAAATACTCATTATACAGCATCTCTATGAAGCTAATTTTGCAGCAAGTATTTACCCCGAAGTGTGGAATATTAAAGGCATTTACCTTAGGATTCCTGTGTCTTGCATGCACACTGGCTTTGGGATGCCGGGTTGTATTACAATGTGAAGGGAATTGTTATTGGAATTTTGTAAGGTACACAGTTCCTGTTTCCTGGAAACACATGGTAAAATTATGCTTACAGGTTTTAAAATAATACAGGAAATAAATCATGCTGCAATAATGTATGATAGTACTGTTGTCAAATAAAAAACACTCCTCTAATAGTACATCTTTTGGTAATCCTCACGTAGTTATTGTGCAATTGTAGTCAGTTTCAAATAGGTTGGCTTCAGTAAGTAGTTTTGTTCTTGGAATTTGTCTTATTTATAAAAACAAATGGACAATATTGTGATTAAACTTTAAAGATTGAATTAAGTTAAATAATTGGGAATGAATGGGTGCACACAGCTGTGACATTGGGAAATCAAAACTCCTGGGACGATAACTGGAAAATCTCATTGAAGACAACATTTCTAGTTTTGCAATCGGTTTTAAGTTCCTGTAGGGTTGGGGGCACAATAAGAACCTCTACGCATTGTGATGTGGGTGGCCGTGATAATGCCACATACAATTGTCCATGTGAGAAAACAGTTTCCTTCAAATAGATGTCGACGAAATCCAGTCTCTCCTTTGCTTTATTTTACAGGGAGCTGTGTTTGTATGAAAGGTATTCCATGATTGTCATTACCATAGCAGTGAAGGGGATGATCTTAAGAATGATTACTTTCTCTCCTGTGTTTCCCAGTGGCGATTTCAGCTAAAATAGTAAAAGATGGTAACTGTTTGCATATAAGCCTCGTATCATTACACAAACCTTCGACTGGATTCAAGTTCTTAAGAAGAATTATTGGGCATTCTCCTGTGTCAATAACAGGGAGGATTTTTTGAAGGATATATCGCCCCCAAATGCCACAACTTTTCCACCACAAGGGTGTGATTTTGGATAGGCAGGAGTATAGCAAAGCAGGATCTTAGTGCATCTCTGGGAACTCAAATTCTGCAAGTAGTCGCGTGATTCCAAGAGACCACCCAGTTTCAAGCCTGCAGTGTCTCTATATGCTTTACAAAGCTTCCCATTAACTGTCAATAAATCCTTGTACGATTGTTGGGCAACGAAGAAATGAGAGCATAAGACCTCTCACCTTCTTTCGGCCAGACAGTTACACAAGTCTATCAATAGCATCACCTTCATTTTCTCACACTCCAAACTTTATCCTTATTGTTTTCTACATTAAAACTCTAATAAAAAAAATTGACAAGTATTCTTGAGACATGTATACTGTGTGAAAACATCTTCCCTTAATCTTAATACCAAACTCCGGTCCACAATCTAGTGTTGATGCAAGGGTCATTATCTATTTCTGGAAATACAGTCAAATTTACAACTGACGTCTACTCTCCCATTTTCTTTTTTATTTTTTAGTTTAGCTATTACGATTCACCCAAAAAAAAAAAAAATTGATATATTGCCACTTAAATTCATAAAATGCTCTAAAATTCTTTTCTAGAAACTTAAAAAGATTTTTGTCTATGAACTTGTTTTCTTTTGGTTTTTCAACTTATCACAAAAAAATACCTTATTTAAATATTAGAAATAAATCCAAATTGTCAACCAAAAAAAAAAAATCCAAATTGTAAATATGAATTGTTGGATTTGTATAATTTTTTATAAAGAAAAAAAAAAGAATTAGTAATAAGGAAGGAAGAAAGTTTAAAATTACAAAATTGTAAAACATATAGGAGTTGACTGGTAGTCCCTTTGAACTTTGGAGGTCAATTCGACAAAATTCATATCTAGATTATCAACTTTCTTTCAAGATTCGATGGCCTATTTGCAATAAATTCATACCTATAAAATGTTGAAACCTCCAAATTGAAATCGTGGGTCTACCGCCGACTATTTGTTAGCTACCGAGTTTCTGCATCTCTTTAAAAGTAAATACAGCACTAATTTGATACTGTAATTTTCTTTTTCTAGGATTTAGATACAATGCTCGTATTTTTTGTTTGTCTGTTTTAATGTGGTTTACATACATGCATAAAAAGTTCAAATTGTGTTGATTCTTTAAATTTCGATTGGATGGCAGGAAAGAGAGTTGTAAAGCCCTCGAAGGTCACGCAAGATATCATTACTGATCGGTAAGCTCAGGTTTTGGCTGATTTTCTTCTTTGGTTAACTGGATGGAACTTATTGGAGTGTCGATTCGATGTTTATGTTTTTTGTTATTTTACTTTTTGTGCAATTTGCGGAATATCTGCCTGTTGTATGGCGAAAGAGAATGGGTTTTCGGCTTGGTTGGGGTTACGTTTCACTAATCTGATCAGAATATCGAAGATTGTCATGATTATGCCTGTTCTAGGGGAATGAAGGCTACAATTTTATGCTATGGTTGTAAAATACACTTAATTGTATTTTTTTCTATTGTAAATCTTTTAACATTATGTGAATTGGTTTATAATTGATTTGTTTGTTAACATGGAAAAGTCAGCATCTAGTATATAACCAGTCTCTAACCTTTTCGACAATGTGTGGTTTTTTATTTTGACAATCATGAACAGGGGTCCTATTTTCTTTTGAAATTGTCAATTTTGTTTTTGACTCAAGTAATCACTTGACTAGTATTACATTTGGTCCAGCTACATGTGAGAGCTTCCATCTACGAGAAGGAAAATAGGTTACTGCTTTGGTCACTTTAGATTCACTCATATTGGGAATGCTTAAATATGCTTGCCGTCTTGACTCATTCATAAAGACTACCCTATTTAGTGCATTTCCCTTGTGGTTGTTTTAGAGTTAGCACCTTGTTTGAGATCTGTTCTTGCTTCTCTTGTCAATGATCATCTTATCATGACCTTTGGCTGCAATGTAGTGTGGGTGGATCCTTGTTATGGAAACATGCTAAGGCATCACCACCTGCACCTCCTTGTCTTCTTTTGTAAGAAGCAGAGTCCTTATCGATAGTGAATGATAAACCTTGCTACTTTTGCTGTTGCCTGATAAGACAGCAAAATTTGTATAGCTTTAGTGGCAGGTAATACTGTTCAAATAGATTCAGGGTATTGGAAGGTTTGTATCTGTATATAAGAAACTGTACGGCACATTTAGTAGTAATGAGTTGATTGAGTTTTACAGATTCTCAGATTTGTAGTATTCCTGATAACTCATAGGAAGCCTAGTGTCATCGATGCTCTTCCCTCAAGATAGATGTATTGTTTTCAAACTTCCAGTTGTGAATTTATATTGCCCTACCACAGGTAGAATGGACTTTCAAATTTATTTGACCAGAAAGGTGTTTTAGATGTTAAATAACTGGAAAAGAAGTGCAAAACCTTTTTTCTGGAAAAGGATGGAGCTCATCCAAGTGGCCTCTTATTGCCTAATGTTGAAACAAGAAAACAAGTTTCTTCTTGAGTCACTCCGTGTGTCAACTCCTATCCTATGTCTAGTGGATATCAATTGTGCTGAATTTTGTGTGTAGGAAGGATAGACATTCTAGGATTTTGTTTGTCACAAAGTTGAAATGTGACCCCTGAATGGTCCAGCTTGGGGAAGCTTCTTCCTGCTCCATCGTTCACAAAGTCATTGTAGATTGTGCTTTATATTCTGGTACGTTAGGATATTAAACCTTGGTAGGTTTACAAGTTTTTCTAACTCTTTGTTTATGCTCTTCAGGAACTGACCAAGTTTATAAATTACTGCAAGGAGGTGAAAGCAGCAACTTGTGCAAGGAACGTGCCCAACTAAGTTTCGTTAAATCTCCACCAGAGTCATCCAAAGGTGCAAAAAAGTCAAAGTTATCCTGTTTTTCCAGTGGCATTTTGTTTTAGCCAATATCTTTGAGGTTTTCCTTATCCTGTTGTGTACTATACCTTGTTGAGCTCTGCTCACTTTTGTCTAAAATTCTTGTTTCTACAGTTTTGTCTGCTAAATATTTTTGCTTTAATGTTTTGACATATGCTACTTGAACCAACAAATTTCCCAGATTTCAGAATTGCTTTTGGATAATGTTCTCTATTCAAAAAAGAAAATGGGAGTGGTGGAGTGGTTTTTCTTTTTTCCTTTTTTCTTTAGTCCCATTTATCGTCAAGTACTAAATCAAGGGAGTGAAGAACTGTATCATCTTCACTGAGTTTTGATGTATTGAGGGGTCAAAACATTCTTGATCAGTTTCATAAACAAATAAAATTAACATGAAACTGTCTTCTTTTTTCATTTTTTTTCCCCTTTTTAATTGTATATATTGTCTTTTGAAGGGTACTTCTTAACTCTTTATTTTAATTTCTTTTTTATTTTTTTGGGTCTCTTTTCGAATACAGCAAAGGTTGAAGTCTTCGGTAGGGTATTTTTGGCATATCTGTTGGGGGGAGGGGGGGGGATTTGGGAAAAGATGTGTGTGCTCCATGTGAAATTGAATTAAACAAGCATCTGATGAAGATGATCCTTAAGTTGTCTATTTGCTGTCATGTTCATGATGCTCCAATTTTTACAACTGATTGAACTGAATCATTTTATGGTTATATATTTGTGCAGAAGAAATAGTTGGCTGGCTTTCTTTTTGTTAACCAAACCTGATGATTTTTCTTATGTGATCCTCATTTGTAACATGATATTAGTTTCTGTTAATTATGGAATGTATGGATAATGGTATGTCCTTTTTTTTGTTTCAAACTTATCAAGCTGAGTAAGCTTTATTCCTCGTTCTTATCATCGTGATATGCGTGTTTTGTTCAGGAGAAGTTGTAAATATGTCTAGCAGGGACGAGTTTCACGATGAAATGGAGGATTCTGAAGTTGAAGTCAGTGAATCTGAGTTAGAGTCGGAAGAAGATGAAGATGTGAAGTTGGCAGAACCTTCAAAAACTGCTGTATATAATAGGGAAGGGTTGCTGGTCAAGCTTGAAGATTTCAGATGGCCAGAGTCTGTGGAGTGGATACATAAGCTTTCTGTGGATATTGATAGGGAGCAAGAGGTTGATGTGAATGATGACTTGACGCGGGAGCTTGCTTTTTATACTCAGGCATTAGAGGGTACAAGGCAAGCCATCCCAAAGTTGCAGTCTATGGGAGTTCCCTGTTTGAGGCCATCTGATTACTATGCTGAAATGGTGAAATCTGATACTCACATGGAAAAAGTCAAGAGCCGGCTTTTAGCTGAGAAAAGAAAGATTGAGGAAAGTGAAGAGAGGCGTAAGGCTAGGGAGAATAAGAAAATAGCCAAAGAGGTGCAAGCTCAAACGTTGAAGGAGAGGGTTAAGCAGAAAAAACAAGAGATTGAATCTGTCAAGAAGTGGAGGAAACAACGGCAACGCGGTGGGTTTGCTGACAATGGTAAAGATGGCGAGTTAGATTTTGCCTTTGAAGATGGAAAGTCTTTCGAGAGATCAAAGAAGAAACAACCTGGGGTATCCCCCGGTGATCGTTCTGGAGGGAAGGCTGGGAAAAGTTTTGGAAAGGGGAATAAAGGATCAGATAAAAACAAGAAAGGTCGGGACTTGAGAAACTCCAAATTTGGTTTTGGAGGAAAGAAAGGTTTAAAGAAGCAGAACACCTCTGAGACAACAAGCGATCTGAGAGGTTTCAACAATTTTTCTGGTCAGAAAAGGAAGAGGTGAGTTCCCCCCAAATCATGTCTACGCATTGCCTCCAGCAGGCTGGATCGAACAGTGAACCGAACCACCTGCACATCGACAAGAAACCCTCTTGGAGTGGTCTCAGAAACCTTTTTGGAGTGCTCTCTCCTTTTCAGAATCTTTTGTTTAAATTTGGTGGTATGTTTATGTATGCTTATGAATGTTTGTTTTGATGAAGTAATTTACTTGAAATTGATATTTTATCTAGTCAGCCTCATAGTCAAAGTTGATGTTATTTGGGTGTGCAAATGTTTTACAGCTAAACCAAGAAGTCTCTTTATCAAAAGAGTGGCTATTATGAGCTATCCAATTAATTCTCTGTATGCTTAGTTTTGATTGAGACGAACCATTCAAAGGGGAGAGGTTTTGTTATCTGTGCATATAATCCACTGCCGAGGTAGTGTTGTCTGCACTTTATGTAATCTTGATAGTCTCCAGGTTATGTTATTCTAATAGGATGTGCTAATATGCTAAGTTCAAGTCTTGTGGAACTCCCATGATCTGGCATCCAATTGGGAGCAGCTTCCTATGCCTGAAGTGCCATTTCAGTGAAGAGGTGATTACCTTAAGGTATGTGGCTGCTGTTTGAGAGATTCTTTAAATTAACTTTTTGCAAGAGTTGCTTTCTCATAGCAATTAGTGCAGTTAATATTTGCAGTGTGTTCGTGCATACTGAGGTTGCCACCTTTTAATTGTAGCCTGCAGTATACATTGTGAGGTTTTTATTAGGGTAGACAAAAACGAAATCCAACACATATCTGGGCATTACACAGGAAAGAAGAATCAGTGCACTTAATAAGTTGCAATTGTTGGGTCTTCTGGTTTAGTTTGACAGCATGAGTTTGTGGTTTTTGATGTGTTGAATTGTCATAAGTAATATAAAATGAAATTGTAAACATTTAATACCGTCCAAAGTATGGAACTAGCCGAAGATATTGACAGTAATTTACCTGAGGATCGTCCAGTTGTCCTGCTGCTGCCAAGTTTTTGTTCCAGTTCCGCTAACCTCATGGGAAAGGACACCAGTTCTGCTTCAGACTTCAGAGTACATGATGGAGTTGGGAGAAACAACAGCCAATTTAGGTTTAGATTGAACCAAAGACGAGTACGCATATGTTATGATTAATCGTGTGAATATTAGATTTGTTCAATGGTACAGATTTTTTCAGTCTGTCTAATTCCATAAACGATATTACAAATGATTTTCATTAACAGTTTTGACCATCTCATTACGTCAGGAACTTATTTTCTCCTGTGTTTACACAGTAGTGGGACATGTTAAGGTTAAGAACAGAAGAATAGTAATTAAAATTCCAATAGTGATGAAGAAGGTAGAAAATTTTAAAAAGGGAAGAATGTGCAAGTCCAATATTCATACGAGCACCAAATCACCAGGTGACAAAACGCAAGCCCAACTGTATCCTCCAATTTGTTGCTTCATGAACGGTGACTACTCACTGCTTATGAATAGATATATCGTTTTAATACTCATTCTGACCAAAAAAAAAAAATCTATCTTGAATTTTGATATTTTTGCTAGTTTTAGTAAAAATTTAAAAACTGAACGTGTACTATATTTCTGGGACAGAGTACAATAAAATAATTGTATAGATAAAATAGAATTTTGAAATTCACAATATTTTGAAAGTCAGTCCTCTTACATTTTCGGCAACTAAATTTTCTCGTTGATTTTCTCTCATTTTTTTTCCTCTCGTCCCTCTCTAACGCCCCTTCAAACAGCAACCTTTTTACTCTCCCCAGTCGGAGCTTAACCCTTTATTTTTCTTTATTTTTTACTACTAGCTCTCCTCTTAGTAGGAGCTTTTGATCTTCAATTTTTGGGAATCTTGTTTCTGTCATTTTGAAAGATTTTATTATGCTATTTTCTTTCTTATAATGTGTTTATGAACAGCTTTAATAAAAGAGAAAATATTCATAGTCGATTTAAGGCAACAGAAATATACATAGAGTCTGAAGATCAATAAATGAAAAATCTGCTACAGATTTAAGTTTTATAGGCATATTTGATTTGAGTTATAGATCTAGATATGAAGTGTTAATTCGGTCGTGTGTAGTTCTAATTTCTTTGCAATATTGATTCTTTTCATACTCTTCTATTGACTACTTTCTATGTAATAAGTAAAGTTATTATAATTTAGCTTAAAATAGTTAGGCCTAGAATTGTGCACATGGTTATCTACTGTGGCTAGGTTTGACAAGAATGGTTAGTTGTTTTTAGTTCAATCATCGGTTACTGTAGCTCAACCCTTTGTGGTTGTGTTTTACTCATCAATTTCTTTCTCATTATATTATGATTATCGCTCGTGATTAAAATTTTTTTAGTCCTATTAAAATTCTTTTTTAAAAAATTATGATAATACCATTTCATTTTAGCTTCACATCAATCTGTTTCTTTTACTAATAATTTTAGTACTACAGTCCAAACATATGGACAAAACATATCAAATATTGTAAATAAATATTTAAAAAGTCACATTCCAAAATTTTTTATTAAGGTCATCCCAAGGTATTTCTGGCCGAGCCATCTGATGGATTTCTTTACTGTATCAATCGTTTATTTGATTATTTTCTTATTTTAAATCACATTAAAAATATTTTTTTGTAAAAATCTTCTTTCCTATTCCCAAAATGCATCATTTTTTTTTTCATCTGTCAATCTTATAACATTTTTTTAATGAAAAAAATGTAGTTTTATCGGTAAATTATTCTAATATCCAAAATTAGAAATCATTATCTTCATTCTCTTAGTCTTTGAGTAAAGATTTAATTTAAAAGAAACCATCACGTGTCATGTTATCTATAATCCCTTTTACCCTATTAAAGTAGAAGACATGAAGCTTATGTGGCAATTACGTATGCATCTGTTTTGGCTCCAATGCACCATATTTCAGATTTCAGGAGTCTTTTTGCCACGTGTAAGTCTCTTTTAATTAGAAGCTATATAATTATTTTTTTTAAAAAAAACACATGTTTTAGATGTGACACTTATCCAATGAAAAAATTCTACAAATAAGAATCAGTTACATTTCAAACGAATGGATATATTAATTCAAATTCAAATGTCCAATCGTACAGTTTTGCAGGCTTAATATAAAAAAAAATAAAAAAACCTAAATCCAGTAATTAAGAATAATGCATTATAAACTAATTATTTATTATTTCCTTATAACCTCAGATTTATAGGTATATTTTTTTAAGCCCCAAACCATAGCATAAATGATATATTCGCCAAATGAATTTCTCAAAAAATAGTAATTCAATTAGATTTTAATAAAATAGTAATTTAGAAGGGGCGCCCGGGCATCTGCCTGGGCCAAACATCTAGTACTTAATTAAAGTAGCATACAAGTTTCTGATGTGTCAGCAATACAATGAAAATTTCCTCCTCAAAGGCTATTTTCAGTACAAAATTATTTTTGACATGTAGCTCTCTAACTATTCAGAAAAAAAAAGGATGGAATAAATTCAAAAAAAATCCCTTAATTAAAGCTACATACTAATTCCTTAATTTTAGCTCACTTAAAAGTTAAAACAACAACATTGAGTTGATAAAATCAAATGTCAAATAATCCCCTTAAATCATTTATTTAGATTAGCTCAAACGTCAAATAAATAATTTGATTAAGAAGGTAAGTATGCCTCCCTTTTAGCAACGATAACGTGCATTGATTCAAATCCCTACAAATTAGGCAGAGTCATCGTCATCAACTGGAAAACAATAAGATCAAATCATCCACATATTACCCAAGGCAATTCATGTATTCATTAATTGAAAATCAAACTTAACCCATTCATAGCTATATTATCACAGAGTGAACCTTAAAACAAGTCATCAACCTTTAATATATTTCCACTCTAGGTCATCAATTAAATTTATTTGTAACACATGTTACCTTACTAAAGTTTTGATCCATTTCAGATTATTCTGTTAATTTTGGCTGTTAAATAGTGACGGAAATCTATTTTTCACATGCTTTTGGGTTCAGGGGTATTTTTGCCATTTTATTATTTTTTAATTTCTTAATCTTTTAAAAAAACTATTTTTTTTTTACAATTCTTCTTCTTATACTTCCTAACTTGTATACACTGGTAATAAAATTCTAAATTTTAAAAATTTATTTTCTTTTGTATTTTAACTTCTAGATTATAAAATTTTTTTAAAAAAATTTAAGAAATGAAGAAGAAAAATTCAAGTTAAAGTAAACGTGAAAATTAATAATTTAACATTTTAAACAAAAAGAAAAACTAAAAGAATTAGCTAAGACAAGTTGTTTCTTCTAGGTTATTTAATTTTTTTCAACTCAATTGAATTATTTAATTATTAATTTTCACGCTTCTTATTCCTTTTTTTTTTATAATCTACAAGTTAAGATAGAAATGACAAGCAAATTCATTTTTGAAAATTAATTTGTCATTTGTATCTTAACTTGTAGATTATTAAAAAAAAAAGGAATAAGAAACGTAAAAATTAATAATTAAATAATTCAAACGAGTTGAATAAAAATTAAATAACCTAGAAGAAATAATTTGTCTTAGCTAATTATTTTAATTTTTCTTTGTTTTTTAAAATAATAAATTATTAATTTTCATGTTTACTTTACCTCGAATTTTTCTTCTTCATTTCTTAAATTTTTTTTAAAAAATTTTGTAATCTAGAAGTTCAAATACAAAATAAAAATAAATTTTTAAAATTTAGAATTATACTACTAGTATATACAAGTTAGGAAGTATAAAAAAATGACAAAAATACCCCTGAACCCAAAAACATGTGAAAAATATATTTCCGTCACTATTTAACGGTCAAAATTAATAGAATAATCTGAAATGGATTAAAATTTTAGTAAGGTAACCTGTGTTATAAATAAATTTAATTGATGACCTAGAGTGGAAATATATTAAAGGTTGATGACTTGTTTTAAGGTTCACTCTAAAAAAAAAAAATCAACAATCAAGAATCGGGGGAAGAAGTTACAATTGCAGAGGGAAGCTTGAAAGAAAAAATCGTAACTATGGGCTCTTATATTTTTCTGGTGGTTTGGAAATAAAGGTTAGTAAAATGCTGAATTGATCATATGCAAGAAGAAGAAGAAAATTTTAAGTAGATTTTGATTCATATGAATATAAAATTTTGTACATGCAATGTTTATTATGTTAAAAACTTGATTTTTAGCTAACTTAAGAATTTTTCACTTCTTAGCAATTCGTCAATAATTGATTTGGCCACTGAAATTACTCTGTCTTTGATCTCCTTCGGGGTTTGTTATGCACTGAATAATATATTTATGTTATTAATAATATTAATGAAAAAGTACAAAATCATTTGAAACTCGCTAGAACATGATAAAGTGTTAGTCGGCTGAGAAATCGCCGGGCTGAGACACTACAGTTTTTGCACAATGAGATGTTTTCTCGAGATACTAAAATTTTAATAATAACCAAGAAGTGAATGTTGAAAATTATTTGGGATAATATCTTCATTCGTTGGGTTTTTTTCTTCAAATACATACTAATTTTTTAAACTGGGCTCCTGTAATGGTACAGATTAAGACTCTAAAAAATAATATATAATTGTGTTAAAACATATCCCCGAGGCAATGGCCCTTTATTTTGTTCCCATGCGATATTGTTATATTATATAAAAGAATATTTATTCTGTTTTGAAAACATTTTTTTCTTTATTTACACAAACAGTTACCCGGGCATTCGCTCGGTACAAGCATCTAGTAGGTACTTAACTATCAATACAATCAATTTACTTAAATGGATCTATCTCAGGATATATAGTCATTTGATCGCGAAGATGCAGAACGTAAGTTTGTCGATGATTATTTCTCAGATGATTATTGTCAAACTTAAGAAAAAATGTCGTTCCTACCCAAAGTTTTGCCCTCATCGTCAATTATATCCAATAGATTTTTGGTTAGCCAACTTTACCCTAATGTTTGAAATTTTTGCCAATTTCGTCCAATCGACCCATTTTCCGTCTAAATTAACGGATCTCCGTTAGTTTTTTTTAATAAAATAATAAATTTAATTACAAAAACACTCCAATAATTTTTAAAATTTTTAAAAATAACCCCCAAAATACACTAAAAAAACAAAATAGTCTTTTTTTACTTATTTTATTTTATTTTTCTGTATCTTGTTCTATTTCCCTTTACTACTTTTAATGACCATAAAAGTCTATTTTATGAACTTTTAAAAAATATTTATTTATCTTCAAACTCTACTGTAAAAATTAATCTTTGTATAGTTGTAACCCATGATTGTATTTATATAAGTATGTTACATTTTTTTAATAATATAGTTTAGCAATAAAGACACTATTTTTCTGATTTATTTTATTCTTCCTAACATAAAAATTAAAAACATTTAAATGAAACTAATATTCCACATAAAAATAATATATTAGCTCAAATAAAAAAAATATTAATATATTTTAGTGTATTACAATTTCATTCAAGAGACTAGAACTTGCACTTTCATAAAACATAACTAAAATATAAAATAATTAAGACACTATTTTTCTGATTTATTTTATTCTTCCTAACATAAAGATTAAAAACATTTAAATGAAACTAAAATTCCACATAAAAATAAAATATTAGCTCAAATAAAAAAATATTCATATATTTTAGAGTATTACAATTTTAAAAAAATCCCCCAACCATAAGTTTTCCTTCTTGAATCTAAAACCTATTTTCTATCACAACGACTTATTATTATATTGTAATAATAAGTCGTTGTGATAGACGATGAAATCAAAGTTTTGGATAAGAACGATATTTTTTCCGACAAACTTAAATAAAGAAAAATATATGAGAAATTGGTGTTTAAATTACTCTAGCAGTCACCAAAATACCGATTTGGTCATTTGGTGGGCACCTAATGGCCTAACGGGTTAGGGTTCTTTTTGGGAAACAAAATAAATCTTATGCCATTTTTAAACCGGCCGGTTCATGTGGGAAATAAAAGGGCTTGTTTTCACCAGCTTCATCACCTTCCCGTCTGATTTGTTGATTCTCTAAAACCCTAATAAATTTTACTGACGGGAAGATGACCCAAAAGAACAACCTTTTCAAAGGCCAACAAAAGAAGAAATCGATACCTCCCAACCGCCATGGCAAAGTTGCTCAAACCCGTAAAGGTACTGTATTTTTCATTTTCTAGGAACAGTTAGATGCATATAAGCTTGAAACTTGAATTTACTTTAATTTGGTTATTATGCATATGTGTATCGGTCGATTTGGGCTCATTCGAAAATTGGGATTTGATGGCAGGAAAGAGAATTGTAAAGCCATCAAAGGTCACGAAAGATATGGATACGGATCGGGTAAGCTCAGTTTTTGTTTGATTTTCTCGGAGTTTCGATTCGAAGCATAGTTTTTTTCTGTTTTGTTTTGTTTTTTTTTTTTTTGCGGGAATTCGAGGAATATCTGTTTTGTTGTTTGGAATGTGTAAATTTCGGTAGTTTGAGAATTGCTTATGTAGTTAAAGGTGAAAGAGAATGGCTTTTTGGTTTAATTGTCGGTATTCCACTAATTTGAGTTTAATCACATGCTGAACAGAATATGGCCTGATTATGTTGCCTCATGTTCAAACTAGAAAGCAAGTTTCTTCTTGAGTCCCCACTGTGTGTAAACTGCTATCCCCTGTCTAGTGTGTATCAATCGGCAGAATTGAGTGCGTAGAAAGGATAGACATTCCAGGATTTCGATTGATATAGAGTTAAAATGAGACCGTGAATGAAAGCTTCTTTCTTCTCCATCCCTTGCAATTTGTAGATTGTGCCTTTTCTTCTGTTACTTAAGATACCTTGGTATGTCTTAAAAGTTTGTCTCTCTATGTATATGCTCTTCAGGAACTGACCAAGTTTATAAATTATTGCAATGAGATGAAAGCAGCAACATGTGCCAACAAGGAAGGTGGGCAGCTAAGTATCGTCAAATCTGCACCAGAGTCATCTAAAGGTGCAAAGTAGTAAAAGTTATCCTGTTGTTCCATTGGCATTTTGTTGTAGCTGATATCTTTAAGGTTTTCCTTGTCCTGTTGTGTAATTTACCTAGTTGAGGATGGTTAAGGTTCGGGATTGGTCTTCTTCAATTTGTTCTAAGATTCTTGTTACTCTCTACAGTTTTGACTGCTATGAAATGTAAATCTTTTGCCTTTGATGTTACTTCAGAATTGCTTTAGGTAAGTTGACTCAGTGAGTGTCTGTAGTAATAACAATCCACCTTACTTGAATGAATTGTTGTTCCGTTAATTTATTTTATTTAATTATTTAGCTACCTGCAACACTCGATAAGTTTAGTTTCTAACTCTTAACCAACCAAAAGGGATTTTGATGTAGAAGATGAGATAAGAGATCGGACGGACCTATGGTTCGAAGTTTGATCTGGTCTTTTTCATAGTAGTTTCATGATCTGTCCTGTTCAGAACTTACCTCATTCCATCTTTTGGCTTTAATTTATAGTTCAGACATTGCGTCCTCAGTTTGTCACTTTGACATTGTGTTTATCTTCACAAAAATGGTACCCATTTTCGACTTTCACACCCTTTCAGAAAAGTCTGATATCCGCTCCGGCCCTGCTATCATTTATTTCTGTATATTGAGTTTCTTTCTTAAATGGTTTTTCTTCCTTTACCTTGGATGGTAATGTTATCTGTTACGGGAAAAAAAAAATGGAAATGAGGATTTTTTTGGTTATTTTTTCTTTTCCTTCAGTCCCGTTTCTTGTCAAGAACTATATCATTTTCAGGGAGAGTTGATATTATGTTGGTGTCAATTGATTAACTTGCCTTCATCATTTTAAGAAACAAATCTTCTATATAACCTTATAATAGAAAACTCAGATAAGAAACTGGGATAGTTTTCCCAACTGCCACGTAGGACTAGCTATTTTTTCCTTTTTTGATTTATCAAAAAGAAAATATATATATCTTCGATTGGTATTTTTTTATGTAGTATTTTAGTCAAATCCTATCCAATCTTATTCAGATCTTCATATCCCAATCTTCTGTTTTGATAGGAATCTTTTTCAACTTTAAATCATACTCTCTTGCATCAATCTGTTAAATTAAATTGTTAAAACAAATCCTTCAAACGTAAGAAAATTTTATATATGGGAGGGTCATTTAGGGTGGCTGGCCAAAGGTCTATATTTATAATAGTGAAACCTCGAAATTACGTTTCGGAAAGGAAGAGAAGATGAGTGCCTGCTTTGTTTCAAGCTATGGAGGGATATACTGCAACGCTTAAGACTTGTCGCAACAGAATTATCTTGCAAGAATAAACTGTCAATGAATTAACCCACCAAAACAAAAGGAAAAACCTACATCAAAGCCAGGCTTTTGATCCAAAAAGCTAAAATCTGCAAGATATTAGTGAATTCCAATGTGGAAGCTTGAAGACTGACAATTTAAGTAAACGATTCCCAACCATTTGCTTCAATAAACAAGAAGAGAAGTTAGGGAGATTGAAAGAAGCACCCCTCTCTCTGTCCCAAAAATATTGTCCAGTTTGATATTTTACTTTTAGTAAAAATTGAACTAGAAAGGAAAACCCAAATTAGGCAATAATTATGGGACGGAGGGAGTAATAAAATAAAAAACCAATCATTTTTGTTGAGTACTTTTTCCATCAATAATGTCTTCCATGCGTCATTTCTTTATTCCGGAGACTACATATTGACTTCATCAAGTCATGATAACACCAATCATTGTAGAAGTTTTACCACATACAAACCAGAGCGTATCTATATTATCATCACTTTTACATCTATCAGTGGCAGCACAATTCAATTACTGCCTTTTTTCTTGCTTGGGATTGCAGTGAAGGTTATGATTTCCGACGATCAGAATCGCAGTAGAGCTCATGATAATCTGATCCGTCGAATGAAAACTCATCCATCGGATTAGATTACCCGAGTTTGGCCGGTTTTGTAGGTGGTTCTAATTTTATTTTGACCCGGACCGGACTGTTACTGTGGCAAGAAACTACTAGTTGGAGAATGGAGGACCTCTTAGGGTGACTTGCACGACTGGTAATTTTAGAATGATAAGGTGGGGTCCAAACCCCAGAATGATGCAGCGTATATTCAGGTACATCATGACGTATCATAGTCCATCAAAACCCAATCAATCTCAGCCGTTGATTACTACATCATCGTATATCCGACCAAAAACTCCAACGTGTTTTATGCTGCCCACTGAAACTAACGCAGCGCAGACAAACCATTAAACCTCACGTGGAAAACCATTATTTGGGTCAACAGCCGCCAGGCCGCCAGAGCGTTTCTCAGACGCGCAACCTTATGCGTCTGGGCTTCGACCTATTAGTCTGAGTCATTTCCACATGTGTCTGATAGTATAAACAGTACAGAACACTGATGCAATGTTAAAAAGGCATTGATGATTCGCATATACTTATTCTTTATTAGTTTGGTGAGAGCCAATAGCAACGTAGGAACAAAATCTAACGGTCTCTGAATTCTTGAAACGAAAAAAAAAAAGCAAAGGGAAAAAAATAACCCACCAGGCCAGCCATCTCGACGCGCCACCAACATCATCGTCTCTCTCATTCTTGTGATAGCACCAAATGGGTGCTGAAGAACCTGTAAAGCTTCAACCTTTCTTGTTGGGTTTTATTTTTTTTTTCAAAAATCGGTTGCTGATTGGTGAGCTATTGTGCTGTTTTGTACAGGTTAATATTGTGCAGAGCGAGAATGGAGTCGTGGGAGATGAGAAAGAAGAGGAGAAAGTGAAGGATATTGAGAAAGGAGAAGTGGGAGTTGAAAATCAGCAAGAAGAAACAGGAGGAGGAGGAGGATTGCATTTTGCTAGGATGCAGAGATTGTCAGCTACCAACCCTTTGAGGCTTGTTGTGGAAAATGCTACCAGAGTTGCTTCTTCTTCTTCACCTGTTCATTCTCAAACTCATCATCATCATCCTCCTCCTCGGGCAACTCCATCTCCTGCTAATAGCTTTCCTCGACCTTCCCCTGCTCCTTCTCAGCCTCGGTCCACACCTACTCCACAAGTAAGGTCTTATCCTGTACCTTTCTTGCTTTCTTCAGTTGGTATTAGTCTGGTTAATAAGGTGATGTGTGCGTGTGTGTTGTCCTCTTCTGTATGTGGTTTTCTTGGTGATGAAAGTTTTCTGTGATTTTTGGTTGGTTTGGTATTATTATTATGACAAACTTGTAATTTGTTTTTGTGGGTTCAGAAATCTTGATCTGAACTTGATTTGTTGTATCGGATTTTGTGTTTTGGCAGCAGTCATTGATATCCCTTAATTCAAGATCATACACAAACAAGATATCTTTGCTTGTGTTCGTGGTGCACATGATCCTGGCGTTCGGGCTTATTTGCTTTCTTATATTTAAAGGGGTTCAAGGAGTGTTGCAAGGAGGGAGAACAAAAAGAGATGAACTGAAGATATTGAAGGATTTTCTACCTCAGGTTGAGGCTGCTGCTTTTCTTAGCATCACTCTGGCAGTTTTCTGGCAAAAGGCAATAAGAGTATGGCCTAAGTTCATGGTGCGTTTTATAGTTTGGAGCTCTTTTGTTTTATCTCTATCGGCTGGGATCCTGTTAATTTGTTTCCAGAAACCTACTACCGATGCTCTTGGAGTCATTTTTATATTCTTTTCAATTGGGGATGGCCTGTATGCTTGTTGGGTCTATCAGAGAACAGGATTTTGCTCCAAAGTTTTCATCAAAGCACTTGAACCTGTATCGAAATTCCACGATATAAACCGGCCTACTTTCTTAATGCTGGTAGCTGGTTTTTTATGGATGTCTCTTTGGATTTTAGCCGTCATTGGTTCATTGAATTTCTATTTCCCGCCATTGATTATCATCGCTTTGGTGCTTAGTATGGCTTGGATAACTGAAGTGATGAGGAATGTAGTTAACTTAACAGTCAGCAGGGTTATTGCTCTCTATTATCTTAGAGGAATGCAGTCCAACACTCAATTTTGTTTTCAACGAGCTTTGTCCCAAAATTTGGGAAGTGCTAGTCTTGGATCGCTTTTTGTGCCTGCAATTGAAGCTCTTCGGATTGTGGCTCGTGGGTTAAATTTGATTGAAGGTGAAGATGAGTTTATGTTTTGTTGTGCACGTTGTGGTCTCAAAATCATGGATTCCATCTTCAAATGTGGCAATGGCTGGGCTTATGTGCAGGTAGTATTATTTTAATGGCATTGCCATTTAGTGGTATCCATTTCACCATGAAATGCTTAAATTTGTCGAGAAAATGTTAATTCTCCATGGAGATTAATAGCTCTAAGTCCATAGATTTCCGGTAAACTTTGGACTGTAGAATTGCACTGAAACCAAGTTGAGGACCAATGGATTTTGTAGGGTCAGAATCAATTACATTAACTACCGGAATTTATCTTGTACATTAAAATTGACCTATGAGGCATGAGCATTGTGTTTGAGTTCTGGACATGTCCACAATTTACTTCTTGTTTTCTCTCTCTTTGGTTCTTTCTTGCCAAGCACCTGACAACTTTTTTGGTCTTTACGTTACAATGATTGTGAGTCTATTAACCAAATCAAACGCATAAACACAGAAGTAATATGTCAGTTGTTTGCCGTTATTGACTTCAGATCTTCTGGGTAAACATAGTTAGAAGTCATCATTTTGTGTCTGCAGTAAGTTATGATTCTACTGTCCGAATTCCATCAATTTGCAATATAGATTTAAATGGACTAAATAATCAATTGCCTTCACAGATTGCTGCATATAATAAAGGTTTTGTGAAAGCCTCACAAGACACATGGGAGTTATTTGAGAGGCGAGAAATTGAGCAAATTGTGGACTCAGACATTACTAGTGCTATCTGCTTCTTAACCGGAGTATGCAGTGGCTGCATTTGTGTCATAGTTGTAGCTGCATGGACAGCCACAGTCCATAAAGGATACATAGCCACCGTATCTCTCCTTGCTGTATTCATTGGCTATTTGTTGGTTAGTCTCTTTTTCTTCATATGATTATAGTCAGCTTTCATTGAATCATTAGATTGTAGCAATTAAACCAACTTTCTCAGTTCCATGATTTCTTGACTAAAATAAGTTTGCACAAACTTATTCAAATGTTACGATGCAGACTAGGATTGCAATGGCTGTGCCTCAAGCCTGTGTTGGTTGTTACTATGTTTGTTATGCTGAGAATCCCAACAATAGGCTCTTTGATCAAACAATACAAGATCGCCTCAACGTGCTTAATGATGGCCGTGATGTGGTTGTTCCAACTCCAAGAGTTCCCAGAAGGTACATGAGGTAGTTAGCTGATCTGAGATGTAACACGTTTCACTATCTCACTACAAATGGTAAAACATATTTGGGTGCAACTCCATTGAACATAAGGGCCAGTGGACCTTAAGGATGCATTCCTACTCAAGGCTGTACAAGAATCCCATAGGTGGGTGCATATGTTGATGATTGCATTATAACTGACTTGTTGGCATAGAAAATGGAAAGATGAAGATTGAGATTGGGTGTCCACTCAGATTCCATTGAATGAGGTTACAAAGACAACTATTCAACTGGATTTGGCCACACCCTTGATGTATGTATCATATTAGGTAAACTCTTTAGATGTACAATTGTTACCAATCCATTCATTAGTTTAGTTATATGAGTTTGATGTATCTTTCCCCTTTACTTTCCACCCCAATTGACATTCTTTATGTAAATTATTGAAGAATAAAACTCAAATATTTATTATATGTTGTCGTGGGGTGGGCCAACTTCAATTGATATTTAGGCCTCAAAGCCTCCTGTGAGATCTGTATTTGGTGCAGATATCATGTTTGTGAAAATTTATTCTGTTATCTGTATGTGAACCTTTGCATAATTTCAAGTAAGGCAGCTACATTTTTGCCGCAGTCATTATTATAGCCAATCAGTATTCTGATCATATGAGAATACTGCAGGAATTTATGTATAAAACGCTTCTGATCATATGAGAATACTGCAGGAATTTATGTATAAAACGCTTCTGAAAAGGTTATCTAAACTGAAATGTGACGCGTTAAAATCTTAAAAGACGATTATCTCCTGTTCAATCTGCAGTTTTGTTGGCTACGGTTTTTAATGCAAATAATTGTCTGAGTCAGGAACACTCGCTTCTCACTTGTGGTTTCCTACTTCTGAGAATTCATCATTCTTTAATTTGTTACAGCAAATCAGGCATTCTTCCATTTGCTGGCAATCAAATTTTCAGTTCACAGCAAAGTTAGCTAACATGAATTTTCTTTTTGTTTCAATTTGAGGAGAGAACTTCCAAATGAGGATCTTTAATTTTGATGCTTGGCAGTTTTCAGATTCCACCTGAGCTGTTGTGTGAATTTGCATTTAATGATGCGCCTTTGCCTTAGAACTTGTCATTATGACTTGAACTTCAACTACAGTACATAATGTCGTTCTGCACTTTGAGTTCGTTGTCTGCTGCATTTGAAGAGTCCATCCTTGCAGAATAACTCATCCATTTTCGGCAGAGTGAATGTCTGCTGCATTCAACATTATTGACCTCCAATAAAGTCTTCAACAGCATTATGATTATATTTTTATCATGAGGAATGAATTTGATAGTCAAAACATCAGGCTTTAGCCCTAAAAAAGGGTCATCTCCAATTCCAGTAACTGCTCGTAAGATTAGTTCAGCACTTGTATACTGCCGATTTTCTGCCAATGTAGGCTTGCAAGGGGGAAGTACGAGATCAAGGTGAAAGTACCGTGAAGTCGATGTTGTAGGCATAACTTTGCCTTCTTTCTTTTACAATTAACACCACAGCATTAGAAGCAGTGAGCTTCCTTTCTTTCTTTTGGTTTTTCTGATTTATGAGAGTGATATTGTATATAGTCAGTCAGTCATTCTTTCTTGCAGCAAGCACATTTCTTGTAAACTGCTTCCCACGAGGCGTGCCGTTTTTACAGATTATTTCCATTAAATGGAAATGCATTCCTGAGAAAACTTGGATCTTTCGCAAGATAATAACTTTTTGCAATGATGATGAGGAGACACTACTGCATTTTACAGTTCCAATGCCCAAGTTAATCCAAAATTGCAAAGGTGAAAGCAACTGAATTCAAGGGCCCTTTACCTTTACTTTTGCGGTTTTCCGTTTCTTATAAAGATCATACATACACATACTCCACAGGTTTCAGAAAAACAGATTTCACTGAACCAAAAAGAGTTCAATTTCAACAGACAGAGATCCTTATTTGGAAACCACGAATGAAATGGTAGTTTAATGAGCATGAACTATTATTATTTCATTATGGAAAGAGTACTATTTTTAGCAAATTACATTTTGAAAGCGTCGTGGATATTGGTATCTCATCGTTGATTTTAGGGCCCAACGCAAAAAGCTGGAGTGATCATATAACAAAACTTCCCGATTGTGAAGACATATTCAGATCAAAACCAATAGGTTATGTACCACATATATATGTTTTAGAGGCTAGAAAGCCTTGGATTCCGTTAGTCTCCAAGCATAAATTTGTCTCATTTTTAAGTGTAACAAAAATGGGTAGATTTTTAATATTTCCTGTGACTATTCTCTTGGTAGCAGCATCATATACTTCAGCCAAAACCCTTGAGGAATTAAGCAGAGGTACCTACGATGCCGATTATTGTGTAACATTGTTTAAACCGACCATTACAAGGTCGACAGATTTCAATTCCGTGGCATGGCGCAAGAAGGTTCTGTCCAGGGCCCTATTGCAAGCTTTGAACGCGAAAAACTTCGTTATGGCCATACAAAATGTTCCGGAACCAGAAGTTGATTCTTGGAAATCCTGCTTGCATTATCTTCACGCGAGCGCGAACCTGCTTCACCAAGTCTCTGAGGAGTATGGTACATCGGGCAATGTGGCCGCCGAGATAATGGATCAGGCCACGGCGAACCAAGAAGCTTGCTCAGACATGTTGGAGGATGCAGGGGAATCCATGGTACTAGTCAGAGAACATGCTAATGAGGCTGCCACAGCAAGCAAAATCGCTAAAGATTTGATCTCGTTAGCGAGTTAGTGTCAGTCTGCCCGGATTGGTTTTGGAAAGTGAATTGGTAGATTATTAGTCCATCTTTGCTTATGGAACTGAGTATTTCTCATTAGTGTTTCAACTCTGAAATCTGAGGATCTGATATTCTCTCTTCAGGTCTCTTCCATTTATGGGCTTTCATTTTACTGAGTACTTGTAGATTATTAGGTTCTTTGCTTATGAAACTGAGTATTTGTAGATTATTAGTTTACTGTTCATTTTTACTGAAACCCCGTTTTATATCTATAATATGTGACATTAGTCACCTGCACCACCTGAACAGGGCATAACTTGACAACGAATACATTTTCAAAGAAAATTTTAACATGGAAAATAGTTACAATTAATAATATCTCTTTTTTGCTTTGATAAGTTTTTGAATAAACAACAGGATCGAGACAAGAAGAAACAAGAGAGATCAAGTGAACTAAAAGGTTGGATTTTAACCAGAATCTAAAATTACAATAAAATTGTAGAAGTAAATCAACTGCTACAACGACTCAAAATAATGTCGAGACGCAAGTTTAACTGGACTTTGCTTCTTTCCTTTCCGTCAGAAGAGAACTGAACTACAGGTAGCTGCCATAGTTCTTTCCTTGCCCTCATAATGTTAGTTCTAGCTGCAAACACCGCAAATCCATTTTTCAATGGAACTAGGACAGGAGCCAAAATCGACAAATGCTGCCAATGCATGGTTAGCACAAGGCGCAGAACTAGTATACTACCTTCCGGCATGAGCATAATGAGAGGAATTGAGGATTCTCAATCTTTCTGTGCAACATTTTTCCGAAAGTAAACTTCTTTCTCTTGCATGAACTTTATATTGCTTCAGTGCCATATAGCTAATACAACAGATATGCTGAAGAGGATTAAGAGTGAAATACTTCCACCTGGCATAATCGTCACCCTGTCATAAGAAAGAATGAAATTGAAAAGTTTCAACAAATCGGGTGTAGTAACTAACAGAATAATCACTAGCATCACGCGTCATTTCTGATCTGCACTATAATGAAGATTTGGTTTGCGAATACATTAAGTAAAACCGCGGTAAATTTCATACAAGCCTCGCTGCTGTATTATACTTTTCATGTTTTCTGCAGTGGCCGACTTTACTACAGTGGCAAAAGGAGCAAATATAGGTCAATCAACTTCAGTGTTTGGTTTAAGGAATAAGATTCAGTTCACATTGTTATGTATTTGGCAGAAGGAAAAAAGAGTGAAACAAAGATGTTACTCTGGAACCTCCTTGACAAGATATTCAAAGGCAAGATAAATAATAAGTGAACCACTTTAAATTGAACTAATAATGTAAGAAAAAGAATCGATAGCACTGCTTACCTGACTTTCTTTTCACGCTGATAAAGGTGCATCATTAAAGGAGGGAGGATGCCAAAAAGAAAACAATTGGCATATATACCCGCATATTCGAGAGATCTGGAAAATATGGAGGAAGACATGGAAGCCAGAAGCACAGGAAGAACAAGTACAACAGGTGTAACCATGCTTCCAAATGAGTTAAATGCAGAAGTAACTTCTGAATCCAAATGAAACCGACCACCATATGAAAGTTTCCCATAATTTCCAATGCCATGCCCATGCCAGTAGGTGACAAGACCAACTTTCCCAGCTTCCTTTCCATACAAAACTTCCTGCGATTTCTGACTTTTCTTCTGTTGCAAATTTGTTCTACTAAAAATCAACCCCAATGTATCAACTATCTGTTTCGGAAGGCTAACAACATACCCTATCAAACTAGTCGCCAGAGCTGAAAACGCAAAACCTCGAACTGCTGGCAAAACAGAGGAAGTAACTGAGAGTAAAAGTGAGATGGGATCCTGAGCTGATGAAGACTTATTTGTACCAGCAAGCCCCAAAACAATAAGATTCCACGATAACACCATAAGTAATGGAATAACTCCACCAAAGAGTATAGCTCTTCGAGCTTCTTTAATAGTTCCACAAATTTTACAAATAAAAGGAGTGATGACATGAAATCCAAAAGTAAGTACAGCAACAGGTATAGCAGGCAGGATTGATGAAATCTCCCATGAAGCATAACCAAAGGAACCTAAGATATTCGCTCGTCCAACTAATAAACCTACTCCAACAAGTACAGTTATAGAGAATAGCATCGCAATGCACAGAAACCTGTTAAAAAGATCAATGACTTTAAATGGAAATAACCACAGCAAAAGTCCCACAATGGATGGAAAAAATCCACAAGCAATTCCAGGCTTTAGACATGGAAAACACTGGGAGAGTATAGAACCAATGCCAGACACACAAGCCACGAGCAAAGAAAAGCTCAAGGAAGCATAAACTAAGGCCGCAAAAGAAGCAAGACCCTTTCCCATTGTCTTTTTAGCAAGGACAGTGAAACTTACTTCGGGCACGTTATCCTCCTTCATCACTGCAAAGCTCAGTTCAGCAATAAGAAGTATGGAAGATATAACATAGAGCCAAGAGAAGACTAGGGCCATTGCGGATGGAAATGGCCCTGATTTTATGGTGGCTGAAGGCAATCCCAGCATACCAGGACCAACAGCAGTGCCCACAATCAAGCCTACTGCTCCCCAGAAGTTGGTTTCAGAAGCTCGCAAGGGAGGATTATCGACTTCTTTAATCTTGTCCAGACAGTGATAATCATCCAAATCACTTTCTGAATGGGAGATTGGAGAGTATTTCTGACTTCTGCACCTTGCAGTTATAGCATATTGTTGATAGGTAAAATCAGCTTTGGTTTCTAGACCTGACTTGCTATGGATGCGAGAGTCCAGAAATTGGAACTTCCTCTTCTGGACATTTCCTGCTTGAGTGAACGGGGCTGGGTTTGGCACCAAAGTCCTATAACCACACTTGAAATTTCGCATTCTCGTTCAATCAGCACTGAATGTACTTTTCAGTCACTGACATTATTTCAGAAGCTGCGAGCGGCCAGTGAAGCACAGAGTATCTTGATATTCATGCATACACCCATCTGTCAACGAATTTTAATCATTCAATGCAAATGTTCAACTAGGAAGGGAAGAACTCAGTTACATATACATTACACAAGACTTCCTAACCCTTAATTTCACCAGTGATATCCTCAAAATCCTTGGTTAAAAATTGAATGCTACGGTAGAAATTTTCCCAAACAAAAGATTTTATGAAAAAATACAACAAAATATGGCCCCGGGGGGGGGGGTGACGAAAGAAAAAAAGAAAAAGGAAACAGCATCCCCATTAAACAAGATTCCAATCAGCCAAAGATTAACAGCAACTTTCTAATCAAAATAAACAAACCAAGTGATGACCAAAGTGTTTCACATGATGCTCCACAGCAGAACCCTTGAAATGATGAACAGGCATACTAACAGATTGAAAGGAATGAACTAAGGCCACAAAAACCGTGATTTGACGAGCTGAGATTGAAAACTTCAATCAACGAGAGATCTTAAAGCCAATTCAAATATCGGCCCATCAAATAATTTGACAATGGTAGTGGGCAAAATGCACAAAAACAACAAACGTATCCCACGTTGTGCAAACCGAAGGTACAATTGAACAAAATCACTGAGTATTCATATAATATTCAAACAACAAGAACTATATTACTCCTGCTTCGGATTCTTTCCTCCAGCATCCAGGAAGTGAAATAAAGGGACAAAAAGAAGGGGGAAAACGCAAAGAATTAAGCTTGACTCACCAAAGTCTGTGGCTTCGTGTTATTCTTTTCAAAATGACGGTGGTTTCTCCGATACAAAGGTCAACTCCAAGGGAGACAGACGTTTGGGGCCTCCATGGCCAATGATATGGCAGGCGACGGCGGCGGAGTTGGCGGTTAAATTCTAATATATGGACCAAAGTTGCAACAAGTTGTTTTCATTTTTTTCGTATTGGTTTTCTCCATTTTCTCTATTAATGATTATCATCATCATTGCAAGCAGGTGACGGGAAAGAATTTTGTTTCTTTAATTCATTCATTGACTCTGGATAATGTCAATTATGAAACCATTGGAAAATCTTATTAGTACGTTTTGATCAGTTCTAACGTACTATCATTTTGGCTCGTCACTTTCCTTTTTGTTGCTTTACGCCTAATTTTTCTACATTATACTATGGTTATAGAGGATAGATTTCAACTTCATTAGAGTCGAATAATGACTTACTTTTCATGATTGCTAAAGGCAGTTTGACTTGGCTTAGTTTGTGAAATGATACAATACACTTTGAACCCTAAACCTCCTGCCTTTCACTCTTTTATACTCCTCCCTCTATTCTAAAATTATTGTTCAGTTTGGATTTTCATTTTTAATATTACTTGGCTTAGTTTGTGAAAGAGATTCATCCCCTCTTTTATACTCCTTCTATCCTAAAATTATTGTCCAATTTAAATATGTATCTATAAGTTAATATAAAAGCCGCTTTGCCAATTAATTTCTTGCAATCTAATTAGTCGGGCAGTTGTCACATGACGTCTTCATTGCATCACAGTTACATCATATTTTAAATGAGGTCGAAAGTGTCTTTCAATAAATAGGCATAAATTAAAAAACTAAATTTCTTCACATAAAAAAGAAAATTCAAATTGGACAATAATTTTAGGATATAGTACTATTTTCTCTCTCTTTTTATCAGTTCTCTTAAATTCTTTCACCATAAAATCAAAACTTTACCAATTATTGATAATTTGCAATGATGGAGAAAGAATACAAAAAAAAAAAAAAAACAGGGAAAAAGAAGCATCAGCGTCCCAACAGGTAAGTTTTTGGGCGAAATATTCTTTTTAGAATAGTTCAATACATTAATAAGGTTCAGAGCAATTTTCTCTATTTGTTTTATACAGGAAAATATTTTTTAGCTTTTATCGATATTGCTACGTCGAATAATTTATTAGTCTCACTTATCAAATTGTTTTTGAGGTAATTCGATTTGGGAACATACTTTTGGTTCTTCAGTTCGTGAACACATCTAGTATGAAGACAAAACTTTATATAGTTTCTTGTAGTTTATAGTTCAGGAATATTTTGGTCTTTTCATAAGTTACACGAAGTAAAAACAAGTTGCATTTAGCAATACCTTATATATACATACACACACACACACATATATATATATGTGTGTGTGTGTGTGTGTGTGTGTGTGTGTGTATGTGTGACGCTGATTTCTTTTTTAATGGAATTCGAAAATTAAAATTTTTTGTTGTAAATTAATAGCTCCCATGATATTTGATGGTGGTAAATTATACTCTATCCGTCTCAAAAAACTTTAACTTAGAATATTTGATGGAATAATATCGGGGGAACTGTTGACTTAGGATAGAATGGTTGCAATATTCATTTTAGAGATATATTATCTTTGTGTATTGTACTATTTTACACCCAAAAGTTAATGGTACTTATTGTTTCGGCTCCAAAAAAAAAAAAAAACACTTCTCCATATTGAAATATTTGTACTAATTTTAGTACAAATTTTAAAAATCATTATGGATTAAATATTAAAACAAAGAGAGTATATTTGAGACAGAGGGAGTATATTTTTGCCCTCGCCTTCTATTCTTTGGGTTCATGAGTTGCATTTAAGGTAGGAGGATGGAATCCACATAACTCCGTACACGTCCATCAAGAGGTAATTTATCTACTCTTATGTATTTGATTGAATTTGACCATTGAAACTTGGATTCTATTGCGTTAGTAGAAAACGACCTCAAATTGTGATTCTTCTCTCTTCTTTTGTTTTTCCTTGAGAAAAGAATATTAATTTTGTAACAAAAGTTAGAATCAGCGAACACTGAGTGATAATCAGTTCATAGGTGATGATCAAATAGTATCCCTCATGATACAAGATTTAACATGATTATTTATTGTATGAGCCATCGAATTTTCTAACATAGAGACCCAATATAGGTTAAGATTAGGAAAATACCGTAAAATTTACTTGATCTCCTGGACAATTGGAATTGCTGAGCTTAGGGCATCAAGATTCCCACGAGCTATTAGAATTGTGCTGAGGGAATCTCTTCAAATTTGAAAGTCTCTCAGATTCAAAGTTTGTACAGTACGTAGTGCAGCCCGCAATGCCATCTGTTCTGCATGCTCCGGATCCAAGACATTTGTTGCAGGAGAAGCAAAAGTATGGACGAAGCTACCATCTGGGGAGACAACATACACACCAAGTCCTACAGTCTTGTTCCAGGAGGAGATACGAGCATCAAAGAAAATTGTAGTTTTCCGAGATGATCTGACGAAGCATGGATTTGTACGGTGCTTAGAATGTGCGGCAATGATGATCTAGGCAGCGGCGGACGGCCTAAAACCTGCAAGACAGAGCCTCGGGTGTCTCCCGAGGGTAGACTCTCTGATGCTTAAGTCAATGAGGAAATAGAGATAATAGAGAGAGAGAGATGTGTATCGTGTGTAGAAGGTATAGAAGATGGGCAGTAGAGGTGGTGTTACCTGTTTCCTGAAATCTAGTCGTATTAGGTTTAGGCGGTGACTTAATCTCCAAGTAACTTGATCCTAGGCCCAATAGGCCTAGGGTTAATTTATGACTCGTCATGGGGTGACAACATACAGACCAAGTCCTACAGTCTTGTTCTAGGAGGAGATACGAGCATCAAAGAAAATAGTAGTTTTCTCCGTCACTGGTCGGAAGATCGAATCCACATCAAAACGAGCATCCAAATTTTCATTTTGTGACATTTTCCACGACTTCAGCATGGAAAGAGCTGATGACACTACTCCCCATGGGGACCAGCTCTTCGGCGCAAAAGTTTTTCACTCTGAGATTGCCATAAAACGTTACATAGAAAACCAAAATATTAAGTTTTCTCCCTGTCTAATGCTTGAAATAACTCACTAGACCATTGTTCAAAGTTATATTGCTGAAAATGTGTAATCAACTCCATCATTCCGGCATAAGATAGGATCTTCTGAGCATAAGAACAAACGAAGATTAAATGGGAAGCGCTATGGTCCAAGGCACCACAAAAAGCAACATTGCGGATCAAAGGTTAGATGTCTGACAGCTAGATTTAGAAGTTGGCAACGAATTTCTTAAACACCACCGCGGAAAGTGCAGTATTCTCGGGGGCAAGGAGAGCTTCTATAATTTTTTTTCTAGATGCTAGAAGTGGAGTTTAAGCTTTCAGGTGTTGGATTATAAGTATTCAGCGCAAGATGATACGCTGATTTGACGGAATGCTTGCTCGACCGATTGGGAGTCCAAATACAGACATCCGACTCTTGGGGGTTGCCTAGTTGAATGGACAGAATCTGGTTCGCCTCCGCAGGATTGAAAACTTGTTGAATCAGACTGAAATTCCACCATCCATTGTCCTTACTTCTGGCCATTGAGTCCCATGAATTCCATCAAACCTTGCGAGTATCTCCATTATCTCCCCACCAAAATGCACTCATCGTCTGCTGAATTCCGTGAAGGAAACCATCTGAGTGCTTGAAACAACTCATTGTGTAAGTAGGGATGGATTGTATCACTGACTACAAAAGAATTTCCTTGCCTTCTTTTGATAGGTTTCTCTCTTTCCAGCCAGCCAATTTTTTTTTTTTTTTTTTTCAGATTTTGTCCTTGACGACAGAGAATACGGAACTCTTGTTTCGGCCAATAGTTGAGGGCAAGCCTAAATATTTCCCGTGATTAGAAACACTGGGGATACCTAAATCTTGCATATGGAATCTCTGAGCATCGGCTCCTTCTTTGCAGAAAACATGATTCCAAACTTGTCAAGATTGATTCGCTGTCCCAGATTAAGAGCAAAATGAATATGAGACGCCTCTTCATTCGTAGCATGTCCAATTAAAAGGGTGTCATCCGTGAAAAATAAATGCGATATGGCTGGTGCCGTTCTGGCCACTGAAATGCCATGGATTCGACCGCATGCCTGCAAATCTTGGAGGATACAAGAGAATACTTCTGAGCACAAATTCTACTTCCTTTAGGTAATCATACTCATACATAATACATATATATAATTGGGGAATGTTAATTCCTATTTTTGTAGTCCCTCATTTAATTTTGTCAAAATTATTTTTGGATAAAAGCTTTTCTTTTATTTACAATTATTAACTCATTTATTGCCATTATCTCTATTTTTATCTTATCACCAAACAATATAATAGACCTTCGATCTCCTTTCTATTAATTTCTTCTTTTATTTCTTCTTTTATTTTTATGTTTAAGATTACAAAAAAAATCATTTCTCACTCTTAGATAAATTTGATTAGTTGATTTCAGTGATTCTTTCTAAATTCTTACGTCTTTCTTTCTTCCTTGGTTTCCTTCTTTGAAATTAATAAATTAGTTTACATTGTTCCATAATCCAAAATGATATCAAGCCTAAATTTATCAATATATAAGTCTAGATGACACAAGAATTTTGCCACTTCTCTCTTTTTCTTTCTTTCAAATCTTTGATTTTACCTCCCCTTTAGAGGTAATATTTCGTTGTTCATCTCATCCCTTCTTTTATGGAATTTAATTTCTCTTTGGTTTTTTTTTTCAAAGAGTGTTGATTGTGTTTTATTGCTTACTTTGGATTTCTAATTTTTGTTTTTCACCATCGGAAAACTATATTTTAATTCGGTTGAAATTAGAAATCACACATTTTAGTGATATCATTTTATTCTTGCACTCTAGAATTATATTTTTACTAATAATAAATCTGTTAAAATATTTTGTAAATAGTGTAATCGACAGTAGTATGACTCATAATTATTTAGTTATTAATATATTTCTTTGAAAAAAATTTACATTATATTATTATAGATATCGTATGCGCGAAGCGCGGTTAATCCATCTAATGTATCATAATTATATTTGCAATTTTCGGATTGACCATTGCTGGTGATCTATAAAAACTTAGGGGGTGCTTGGTTTGGGGGTTTGATATCCAATTTTTGCCTTTCATTCCAATGTTTTTGATTTAGCATTCTTGGTTTGGAGGGTTTGAAATCCTCAAAAGGTATTTCATCCCACTAATCCATTCCACATCATTTTGGAGGGAATGAGGCAACTTTCTTCTTTCTTTCTATTTTGCCCTTAATGTGTAGTCAACA